ATTTATCGGTTTAGATCTCAGAATTAAACCGATCAGTTATTCGTTGACAGAATTGTGTGCAAATTTCTGTCTGGACTACGTTACTTGATGTAAAAATGGTCACGAACTCTCCGTTTCCCATTGTCGCTCATTCCTAAAACTATCCAGCGTGGGCAATTCAAAGGTTCAAGAGCCTTTAGCATATGTAACTATTATAACCACCGAGATACAGTTTCGCGCTTAGGAGATATTTGAGTCTCACAGACCATTAATAGAAGCCTTCTGCCAAAAACCGCAGTGTGGCTGTAAGTTGGAGCACATATGAGAGAGAGAGAGAGACAACCTATCTAAAACTGATCTTCAATGACAGCCAGCAGTATTACAAAAACGTCTTTGTTTAGCGACATTGGTTTATGAATCTACTTAAAAACAAATTTTGTATCAGCACATCTTAAAGTAGAGTACAAATTTCACTTACAACGACTCAGGTAGCTCCAGTGGGTTGCTCTTACAACTTTGCCTTTATTATCAGGATTATTTCTCCAAATTTTTCTATAATTAAAAATGCTATCACTGCCGAAGTCATTTTATTTTTAATAATCACAAATTTGTTAATACCAGAATAAAATTTAAATTGAGCTGCTGTTTTTTTTTACACAGTGTGATGACAGCTGATTCGAATATCGGTTTTGCTTATATTCGAAAAAAGCCTAATTAAATCGGTTTCATGACACCATTTCAAACAGATATTGATTTTCATTTCCGATAAATAAACAATTCTAAGTCGGTTTCTATAACACCACAGATTAACATTTATTTAAAAATTAAGGAAATTAGGTTTCCTGACCAAATGTGACTGAGATTGATTCTGATTATTTCCTAACATGGAATTGACTTGAGATGCTGAAATGAGCATTGAATTATATTTTGCTGGGGTAACTTATCTATACTGCTGCACCATTTTCCGAACGAAGGTCTTCGCGGTAAGTACGACCGTTGAGTGGAAGGTCTGCAGCGTGGGAAAAGACATGAAAAACAACAGCGAAACTGAAAGCTGTAATAGCATTATAAAGTTAGAAAATATCGTTAGAGCAGAGGCTGCAGAGAAGTAGCAGCATATCAACTGGTTTCTAGGCCACAAGAACATAGTGGGTGATGAAAGAGCTCCAATTGGCACTACCAACAGGACCAACAGGTTTATGTGAGGCTTAGCGATCAGCCAAAATACAACCGGTCAACAGGTTTTTTAAATATCAGTCTTATAAAATTTCAATTTATCCTGCACGAAAAGCTAGGATTTTTAAATTAAAATTTCAGTTGCAGCAAGAGCCCATATATAGGCCTGCAGCACTGACGAGATTCTTGTACACTTTTCGACGTAAACCAGACAAATGCAAAATTTATTTATATATATTATTTATTTTCGAAATATTACTCGAAATTCTCGTAAATAACAATTTAGTTCCCATTATTAGTCAATGTCCTTTTCATAACTACATAAATACAATGCATACATATATATGTAAAACTATACTAAACAACGTGACAGTACGAGTATGTATGTATGAATGACAACTCTTTTAAGCAAAGCTTTTCAGCCAAAGAATTTCTCTGCCAATTTATTAAACAAATCATTCAACAGGCAATGCAGCTGACATTTCACAACAACAAATCATAATTAAATTTAAATTAATTTTGTAAATCATAGAGCATTCATCGATGCTCATTACTTGAGGTTATTATGCTAGCAAATGCATTTGAAACCCTTTATTAACTGAAATATATACACATAAACATATACTCGCTCATTTACGTTTATATTTTGGTTAAATATTATAAATACAATGCGGTGAAATTTTAAACTGGTTGGAATAAAATCCTATTTAAGGTTGGAATTTTTTGACCGAAGCCCGAATAATACTTAACGGTGACAATAAAAAAATTATGTACCATTATTTTACCTAATTTGAATAGATTTTCAGCAAAAAAAAAAAATAATAATAATATTAATAATATAAATATAATTGGCGCGTTTCAACCGCTTAAGCGAATTTCGGCCGAGCTCCGCCTCCAATACGTGGTATGCGTCTTGATGTTTTCCCAACAAATGGAAGGACTTACAGTTTATACTAAGCCAGCTCCGAACGACTGCTGGTTTTTTATGAGAATTTTTTATTTCATGTGAGAAATACACTCGGAGGGGTTTATATTCCCTGTCGAAGGGCGACCGCAATCAGAAAATTTAATTTAATTTTTTATTTAAATTAATTTTCTAAAATTCTTTGATGTTGGTCGGACCAGGACTCGAAACATGATCTTCCGAATAGCAGTACACAAGTGCACAGTACCACTCGGCTATCGCTGCCAATATATATAATATTAGCTCAGCAAAATTCTTCGAACTACACAATACCAGCTGAAAATTTGGACGAATGGAGCCGCTATCAAGTATACGTACTTAATTAGTAAGTCCACATTTTCAAAATATTCGTATTTTTTTTCAGCCCCTTTATTAATTAAATATTAATTATTGCTTCGCGAAAATTGCGCATAACTTGCAGGTAATATTCCTTATTAACCGTTCTCCCCTATGGCAAGAACTCATGATGCACCACGCCTCTGCAATTAATTTTTTCGTCTGTTGTTGAAGTGCTCGGGCGTCCGGCACACTCATCGTCGTTCACATATCCTCGATCTTCTGAGCACATTTTGTACCACCGATAAACGTTGCTTCGGTCCAAGGTAGCTTCTCAGTATGCCACAGTCAACATTCGGAATGCATCCGAGCACTTAATTTCGTTTTTCACACAAAATTTTATACAGGTTCTTTGATCCATTTTTTTGAATAGGTAAAAATCAAAGACCATCCAAAACAAGTGCAAGCAAAGCAGCTGCCAACAATTAAGTCAACATTCAAAATGGCCGAGCTTTTCCGCTTAAGTGACAGACATGAGTACCAACACAACGCCACAAAAAAATCGAAATTCGATTATACCTAACCCACGAAAATTCAAAATTCGCGATACTTTTTGAACACACCTCGTACTGCATATGCAAACCGACCAGATAATTTTGTATTTCCCTTGTGGAGAAGAGCAACGTTCAGGGTGTGTTTGGAACTATCAGGCTGAATATTTTTTTTTTTTTTTTTTGCAAACGGTGACTGATTTCTATTTCTGAACATTTTTTCAAAATAAATACCCTTTCTTATTTTTTTTGACCAAATTTTTTGAAGCTGAACCGCAAAATGTACAAACTATAATATTTCAAGTGAATCCGAAAGAGTTCCAATTCCAGTCAAGCACAGTGTAATTTTTGTATTCACTTCGAGTTAGTGGCAAACGCCATCCCACATATCGTCGTTAAAAATACTTTTTTCTTGATTTGCCTTAGTATGCACACTAGTTTCGAAGTGATTAATTTATTAATTTAATTATGTGTATTACCAATCGTTAGACAAGTCGCTAAGAAGTGGTAAGGCAGCATTCCTCGGTCGAACTTATGCCTGATGTTTCTGTAATTTTGTTTTCTAATCACCAAGGATGCTTAACTTTTTCTCTTTTGTTTATTTTTAAAATAAATTAATAATATAAATAATAAATACAAATATGCAAGTATATCTCCTTTAATAAATAACGATATCACTAACCCAATGGCACTAACGAAATAAAAACCTTGCACCAGACAAATCGCTATTACAACGTAATGCAACGTCATACCGCTCGGTACGTTGCATTGCATTGACATCCCCATATTAAATTCATTAGTTAAGCGAATGGATGTTTATTAAATTGTGACCAGTACTCATTCCTGAGAGCTAGTTGAATCGTTAGTGGTGAACTGACTTAGTCCAACTACGGGGATTATACCATATATATATATATATATGTATGCACACATATATGTGTGTGAGTATTATGTGGTGAATGTAATGTTTAGTTGGTATGACCATGTTTTGTGTGAAATTTTGTGGCATTAAAATAAAAATAAATGTTTGCTTAAGTGTTTTGCTACAAGACTCTCGAAGAGCTTTTGCTTTAATGAAGTGTCTTTGTGGAGAATCAAATATATTATAAATAATACAGATTGTCAACATCATTGTAATAAATGAGTTTGTACATATGAACATATGTAAAATTTATGCAATTTCGTGGTCTAAGTAATTAAAAAATTTATTTACCCGTTTTAATAAAATTAATAATAGCAAAACTGAAAAATAAAAATGTATAACCTCAATATACGCAATCATTGACGCTTTGTAATCGCTGAAGCGATTTTCGGCCGAGCTTCTCCTCCAATTTGTTGTTTTGCGTCTTGATGTTTTTCCAACAAATGGAGGGACCTACAATTTTCACTAAGCCGCCTCTGATTGTATTTCATACATATGAATACTGAATGAAAGGTCATTATTCTAGGTCTATTATTCTTTAGTTAAAATTATCGTTAGTCAAATGAGCACCGTTAAGCTCGGTAACCCCTTTTGCCATTTTGAAGGCAATGTCATTATGCCTCTCTCAAAGAAACCGTATATCAATCAATTTTCCATAGCTTCTCTTGGGGACAAACCTTACTAGCCTAAATATGCGCCATAGCCAGGAAGAGGTGGTAATCAATTGGTGCGAGATCCCAACTAACGATATTTGTGGTCTGGCGTGGGCAAGTGCTTGCTTCAGACAATACAGAACGGAATTAAGAGTTTAGCCTTAGAGGAGCAGCTCACAGTGTATGATTCTTTACCAATGCCACCAAACACACAACAAAACCGTCCTAGATGTCAATCCTTGTTTGGAGACCGTTTGCGCCGGCCTACGGCGCTTCTGTCGCAACCATTTTCATTTGACGTTGCCGTAAGCAATCCCCTTTTCATTATCAGTCACCATTCTCATCATTATATTATTTTTCTACTTTGAAAGACCAATGTTAGCCTCAAAATATTCTATTAAAACTGTGCAGATTGTGCTAGTAAAATATGTTCAGTTTTCCTTTTTTTTGTTAATACCTTCTCCCGAAATCTCATCCAGCTCTCTTTCAAGATGGACAATGAGACTTCTCTAGATCAATTACTCCAACTGAAATTGCATTTACATGAAGAGGAAATTAAAAATACCGTCGATCGTGCAGTCAAGGAGATGACGGTGACCAAAGTGTTGGATGAAATTAAAATCACCTGGACTCGTATGCGTTTCGATACGGAACCGCATCAGCGACGCATGGAGGTGCAGTTACTAAAAGTCTCCGAAGAGCTGATGGAGACGCTTGACGATAATCAAATGCAGTTGCAGAATATCGCTACTTCCAAGAACATTGAATACCTACTGGACAAACTCGTCTATTGGCAGCGCGTGCTCAATGATATTGATGCATTTATTAGCAGCTGGTTCGAGGTGCAACGTAAGTGGATTTACTTGGAGGCGATATTCATAGGCACTGCTGATATACGCGCACAGTTACCGGGCGACGCCGCGCGTTTTGAGATCATTGACTGCGAGTTCACGCGCCTACTAGACGAGGTTACACATATTGGCATCGCTATGCAAATAGTATTGAAGTGTGAGCAAATTTTCAAAACATTAAACGAGCTCCAAGAACGTTTGGCGGTATGCGAGAAGGCGTTGAATGACTATCTGGAAACAAAGCGTTTGGTATTTCCACGTTTCTACTTCATTTCCGCAGTGGATCTGCTGGACATACTCTCGAACGGAAATTCTCCGCACATAATTGATCGTCATCTCATCAAACTGTTCGACTCCATATTGCGCCTTCAGTATGAGACGTACGCTGGTGATGCTGATGGCACATACCGCGCTATCGGCATGTTTTCAAAGGAGAATGACGAGTATGTACGTTTTGCAGCTGCTAACGAAGCTGCGCCTTATGTCATGTGTGCCGATCGTGTGGAATTGTGGCTAAATGGCGTAATCTTTCAAATGCGCAACACATTGCACGAGCTCTTTCGACGTGCGCTTCACGCGCATGTGAATCGACAGCGTGAATCGTGGCTGAATGAATGGCCCGCACAGGTCGCTCTCTGCTGCAGTCAAATCGTTTGGGCAGCCGACGTGAATCGAGCTTTTTCATGGATGGACGAAGGTTATGAGGCTGCGATGAAAGAGCTGCACAAACGACAGATGACGCAACTGAATTCACTCATCAACTTGCTGTTGGGCGAACTCACATCCGGCGATCGTCAAAAGATAATGACCATCTGCACGATCGATGTGCATTCACGTGACGTGGTCGGCAAAATTATACACGCTAAAATCGATAGCGCATTGGCATTTCAATGGCAGAGCCAGTTACGACATCGCTGGGATGATGCTGTGCTCGAGACCGAGCGCCGACCAGCAGCAACTGACGAGGACTGTTTTGCGAACATCTGCGATGCGGAATTCCGCTACTCCTACGAATATCTCGGCAATACGTCTAGACTCGTTATAACCCCGTTAACGGATCGTTGCTACATTACGCTAACGCAGGTAAGTGATGTTTTTTCTAAAATTCAGCATCCCGAATTGGTACAGTTAGCATTTCTACGAGACCCTGGAGACGCACTATGGTTTCAAAGAGGTCTTCTCTCAGAGAATAAAGAACTATTTGATCGCGACTATCTCGTAGATAATTTGGACTTATAACTTGTGGATCTCAGCTCCTTCGAAAAAGTAACTTCACTTTTGAATTTCAGTCGTTGCATCTTGTGATGGGCGGCGCTCCCGCCGGTCCAGCTGGTACAGGGAAAACCGAAACCACAAAAGATCTGGGACGGGCGCTCGGCATGATGGTGTATGTCTTCAACTGTTCTGAGCAAATGGATTATAAGTCCTGCGGTAATATATATAAGGGTTTAGCGCAGACTGGCGCTTGGGGTTGCTTCGACGAGTTCAATCGTATAGCAGTGGAGGTACTATCAGTTGTAGCCGTGCAGGTTAAGACAATACAGGATGCTATTAAGGTAAAAGAAAACATATTTGAACTCTCTCTAAGAGTATACCGATTAACCCCATTTGGATCAGTTGCATCGAAATCGCTTTACTTTTATGGGTGAGTCCATCGCTCTAGTACCGTCTGTGGGTATTTTTATTACTCTCAACCCTGGTTACGCTGGACGTACGGAATTACCGGAAAATTTAAAGACACTATTTCGGCCCTGTGCCATGGTCGTGCCAGACTTTGCACTAATTTGTGAAATTATGCTTATGGCTGAGGGTTTCCAAGATGCGCGCGTGCTTGCACGAAAGTTCATAACGCTTTACACGTTATGCAGGGAGTTGTTGTCCAAACAGGATCACTACGACTGGGGACTACGTGCTATCAAATCTGTACTCGTGGTAGCAGGTACATTGAAACGCGATGATCATAATCGGCCAGAAGATCAGGTGCGTTTGCAAAATAAAAATGACAGAATTCTTTCTATTCAACTTCATGTTTACTTGTATTGAAGGTGCTCATGCGTGCTCTGCGAGACTTTAATATACCGAAAATTGTCACCGAGGACGTTTCTATATTTATGGGCCTCATCGGCGACCTCTTCCCGACGTTGGATGTACCGCGCAAACGTATCTTTGAGTTTGAAAAGATAATACGTCGGGCGGTTAGTGAGAATAAACTACAGCCGGAGGAAGGCTTTCTAATGAAAGTCGTGCAGCTGCAGGATTTACTAGACGTTCGACATTCCGTTTTTATTGTTGGCAACACTGGCACGGGAAAGACGAAAATTTGGCAAACACTACTTGAAACATATCGCATACAGCAGCTTAAGCCCGTGTGTAGTGTACTCAATCCCAAAGCATTATCCAATGATGAGTTGTTCGGTGTCGTTAATCCGACAACGCGCGAATGGAAAGATGGTCTCTTCTCATCCATAATGCGTGAGCAGACGAATATGCCGGCAGGTAATCCCAAATGGATCGTACTTGATGGCGACATCGATCCAATGTGGATAGAAAGCTTGAACACCCTGATGGATGACAATAAAATACTGACACTTGCAAGCAACGAACGAATCACACTCAAGCGGGAGATGCGTCTCCTCTTCGAAGTGGGTCACCTCAAGGCAGCCACACCGGCTACAGTATCGAGAGCTGGTATTTTGTACATTAATCCACAGGATATGGGATGGTCACCGTAAGTTGCTCTATCTGACCTGACGAATTTTCTGTACTGTGTATCTGCTTCTTTTCCAGTTATGTCTTGTCGTGGATTGAGACCCGCAATGACCCCATCGAGCGAGGAACACTGACGACTCTGTTTGAAAAGTATTTTCCAAGCTTAATGACAAGACATCGTATATTCCGGCGCACAACACCAATTAGCGAAATGGCGATGATACAGATGACTTGTCATTTGCTCGAAAGTCTATTGTACATGCTCAAGCAGGTGAGGTAAATGCGGTGGGTCGTGGAGGTCCGAAGTAGACGTGGAAGTAGAAGTAGAAATAGAAATAGAAATAGAAGTAGAAGTAGAAGTAGAAGTAGAAGTAGAAGTAGAAGTAGAAGTAGAAGTAGAAGTATAGAAGTAGATGTAGAAGTAGAAGTAGAAGTAGAAGTAGAAGTAGAAGTAGAAGTTGAAGTAGATGAAGTACAAGAAGTAGAAGTAAAATTAGAAGAATAAAATTTAATTAAAAATAAAAATAAAATTAAATCTGTTTCATCCACCCTTTCTCTCTCTTAAACTTTCATTTGATTCGAAATATTTCTTCTCAGGCAAATAAACTCGAAGAAACTTCAACCATTGACATTGCCACGCACAACCTTATAAACCCCACTGACGCAAGCACGCTTGACCTTTCCATCGAATTAATTTTCATCTACGCAACAATGTGGGGTTTCGGCTCGGCCTTGCATCAAGACCACATAATTGACTGGCGACGCGAATTTCACAAATGGTGGACAAGCGAATTCAAGGATGTCAAATTGCCAACACAAGATTCTATTTTCGATTACCAACTCGATGTGCGGACAAACAAATTTCGGCGTTGGACTGAATTGGCTGTAGAGCAAAAAATCGAGACTATAGATATGGAATTGCCAATACAGGTACTAGCTACTATGCACACGCACATACAAGCACAAATTTTTCAGATAGGAATTGATTTATGAAAAGCCATTCTCTCCTCCTACAAACAGTCTCTGCTGGTGCACACGGCGGAAAGCGTGCGTCTGACCTACTTCTTAAAATTGCTCATCGAACGTAGATACGCCTGCATGTTGGTCGGCAATTCGGGTTGTGGTAAGAGTGCAATTTTCCGCGAACTTTTCAGTATGTATGAAAATGAAACTGACGCTGTGGACGTTGATAATTTAATGCAAATGCAATCTGAGGATTCAAAACGCGGCAAGAAGCTAATATCAGGCAGACCGCGCACGATTGCGGTGCAGACAACATATTTTAATTATTACACAACGTCGGAAATATTCCAAAAAATACTCGAACGGCCGTTGGAAAAGAAATCAGGACGCTGCTTTGCGCCTAGTGGTGTCAATCGTCATCTCATTTACTTCATCAACGACCTTAACATGCCCGAGGTGGACCTCTACGGTACAGTGCAACCGCACACCATCATACGGCAATTCATGGACTACAGGCAATGGTGGGTGTATCAGTAGAACAGGGCTAACTTTTCAAACTATATCTATCTCACGACATAGGTACGATCGCCAGCGTTTACAACTGAAGGATATACGGCACTGTCAATTTGTGGCCTGCATGAATCCAACCGCAGGCTCTTTCACAATCGATCCACGGCTGCAGCGCCATTTTTGTGTATTTTCTGTGGCGACACCCTCCGATGAAACACTACAGCGCATCTTCGGCACAATTTTACGCTGTCACTTGGAAAATCCCTATAACTCCTTCAGCAAGGAGATCAAAGGTATCGGTGAGCTCTTGGTACAGGTCGGTATTGCCTTACATCGGCGTGTAGAGTACGCGTTTCTACCCACAGCGGTGAAATTCCACTACACTTTTAATTTACGCGACTTCGCGAACATATATCAAGGTCTGATGTTTAGTTGTGGCGCGTCGCCCGGTCAAGCGGCTAGCGCAATGTTGGCCAATAATGGCACCATATGTAGCAAGCCGGCCGACTTGATACGCTTATATGTGCATGAGGCATATCGCGTCTATCATGATCGGCTCGTCGATCAGTATGATATCAAATCTTTTAAAGCTACGATACGCGATATATTCAAGAAAGATTTTGAAGACTTCGATGAGGATTTCGTTTTCGCCGAACCTCTTATCTACAGTCACTTTGCGCAGTCGCTCGTTGATCAGAAATATATGCCACTACGCAGTTGGGAGAAGTTGCACCAATTGTTGATGGAGGCGCAGGCAAACTACAATGAGGCCGTCGGCTATATGAACTTGGTACTCTTCGAAGATGCCATGATACATGTTTGTCGGTATGTTTTCAAAGTTTACAAGCTAGTCAAGTGTGCCACTAAATCTCTCTTTTCAGCATCAATCGCATATTGGAAAGCCCACGTGGTAATGCGCTACTTATCGGCGTTGGCGGTTCGGGCAAACAGACGCTCGCACGGCTCGCGGCGTTTATCTCATCGCTAAGCGTGCTCCAAATACAATTGAAACGTGGTTTTGGCTTGCAGAATCTTAAAGAAGAGTTCGCCACTTTGTACATGAAGGTCGGACTGAAGAATGTCGCCTCTGTCTTTCTCATGTCCGATGCGCAAATACCCGAAGAGTCTCTACTAATGCTTATTAACGATCTTTTGGCATCGGGTGAGATACCCGAACTCTTCAGCGAAGATCAGTTAGAGATCATTGTGAATGGCATACGCAATGAGGTGAAACAAAGCGGCACACTGGATACCAAAGAGAATTGCTGGCGGTTTTTCATCGACAAAATAAGGAGACTGCTGAAGGTGGTACTATGCTTTTCGCCCGTGGGACAGACTTTACGTGTACGCGCACGTAAATTTCCAAGCATTCTCAGCCGTACCAGCATCGACTGGTTTCACGAGTGGCCGAAAGTCGCATTGGAGTCAGTCTCACAAAAATTTCTCAATGAAATTGAGCCGCGTATTTTGCCTGTAAGTGTAACATAATGTCCACCGTTGGGTGTGCAGTTATTTTTGCCTCTTGAAATTTATTGATCTTTCTTCTATTTCTTTCTTTACACATCCATTTGCATATGTATGCATGCGGGCTACCAGCGGAACATGGTCAAATCTATCGGTTGCTTTATGGCCTACGTTCATCACACAGTCAATCAGATTTCGAAAATTTATTTACAAAACGAAAAACGTTTTAACTACACGACACCGAAAACCTTTCTGGAATATATTTTTCTCTATCGCAAATTGTTGGTGGAGAAGAATGGCGAGCATACGGGACGCATTCAACGTTTACAAAGCGGCATGGGTAAATTGGCCGAGTGTGCGTGTCAAGTGGACGCGTTGAAGGTACGAAGGACACGCATATATATATACATATATATGTATATATATATATATGTATGTATGTACACTTTTTGGCCCATACACGCCTTCATAAAGGCAATATACACACTCACATACGCCCGGTCAAAAGAGAAACACCGAAACCGTGTGAAATTGTGTGCTTTGAACAGCAAGTTGAGTGGACAATCGACTGTCCGCTTTTCAATTAGTCCTCGTAATTGAGTTGTCTACGCGACTAAGTGCGCTGTGTAACGTTACACTCTCTGACACCGTTTTCATGTGTGAATTTCGTTGTAAAGAAAACATGATGGAAAAGAGAATGTGCCAATCGAAATAATATGAAGAACACATGCATATGTGCGTATGTAATTTTCTGTTTGAATGTGTTCTAAATATAAGAAATGGAGAGATTTTTGATGAAAATTAATCAAATATACACATTGGATTCGATCTCGGACCGAACTAACATCTAAAATCTTAAAAAATTCATTCTTCAAATTACGATCTTCACTCAGCCTTGCGAGCGCATTTCGTACATGAAACAAATGCACCTCAAGTCATTCGGAGACGGCTTAGAATAAACATCAAAGTGCACACAACAACTCTGGGAAGCATATGTATGTATATTCAGGATTCTGTAATAAGCATTTTGGGACCTTAACTTAAGAAGAGAGCACTCCTACCTCTCAAAGAAGACACAAGCTTCTCTAACTGAGAAGTTATAAAGAGATCGCCGTCTCTTACCAAGGCACCTTGAGCTATGTCAGCCAAAGAGTATTAAAAGTAGGCAAAGCAAGGTCACACAGAGAAACGTAGCGAGTTGGAATGTAGAAACGTAGGAAAGTAGATACCAGAACAACGTAGAAGCCGAAGAAAATAGATCGTATTAGTAGTAGTAGCACCAGATCATGCTTCCTCCACTCCTCGGCTCTCAACGTCTGAATGAGTAATTTTTAAAATCGTTTCACAGGTTTATTCTAGAGATGGTAATTTGAACTTGGATGAACTCATAAAAGGAGGAAAAAATTCATTATTACTCCATATAGCGGAGAGATTTCTACACGCGTGGAAATCTTCTTTCTTGTTCGTCCCTTGGGGTACTCATTGCGGCGAACTCATCCAATACATTTATCTTTGTAGATCTGAGCTCAGTACTGCCAATCTTAGCTTCACTCAAGGCGATCTTAGACTAGATCTAACTCTTATTTCATATCCGCGGATAATTAGCTTTTCGGGTTCCCACTCAACCGTTCCTAAATCATATAAGTATCACTGAAACTATTAGTATTCTTAAGCCCAAAAATATTACTATCTTTGATTTCACTAATAAGTCTGGAATTATATTGCCACCAAGGCCGGTTTATTCGGGTAATTAAAAAACTCTAATCAAATTACCATTTTAAACTCTATCCCCAGAATCAACTAGCCATTCAAGAAGTCCAACTGGCGGCAAAAAATGCTGCCGCCGACAAACTCATTGTTATTGTCAGCGCAGAGAGTGAAAAGGTAAAGCGTGAAAAATCTACGGCCTCTGAAGAGGAAAAACGAGTGCGCATCATTGAAGAGGATGTTTGTATGAAGACAAAATTATGTGAAGAAGATCTACGCAAAGCGGAACCTGCACTCGTAGCAGCGCAAGCGGCACTAAATACACTTAACAAGAATAATCTCACGGAACTAAAGTCATTCGGTTCCCCACCCAAAGCTGTGGTGAATGTTTGTGCTGCAGTTATGGTTTTATTAGCAAAAAATGGCAAGATACCACGTGATCGCAGTTGGAAGGCAGCTAAACTAATGATGGTGCGTGTCGATCAATTTCTCTACGATCTGGTCAATTACAGTAAGGACAGTATACATCCGAATATTATTGAAGTGCTGCAGGAGTATTTGAAGGTGAGTTTGGGTCAAGAAAAAAAAATAATAATAATAATAATAATAATATAAAATAAAAATTTGTTTTTCGTTTCCATTTAGGATCCCGAATTCAGTCCGGAAAAAGTCGTGCAGAAATCTGTTGCTGCAGCCGGTCTTTGCGCCTGGGTCATAAATCTACGTCGTTACCATCAAGTATTTCTCATTGTCGGACCCAAGCAACAGGCTTTGCAAGATTCACAAAGGGAATTGCAAGAAGCTCGTGAATGTTTAGAATATTTAAAATGTAAAATTAATGAGCTGGAAATGAAATTGGCTGAAATTCAGGCGGAATTTGAAGAGGCCGTCGCTGCCAAACAAATGTGTCAACGTGAGGCGGACAAAACGGCTTTTACTATAGATCTCGCACATCGTCTAATTAATGGTCTGGCCAATGAGAATATCCGTTGGAAGGAATCAGTGCAAAGGTAGAGGTAGAATTTGCTTATGCTCATTTGTTTATTTAATTATAATATATTATAGTACATACTCGTATGTCAAAGATGGACACCAGCAAAGTGAAAATTCGCTATATTTTACAATTTTTCTTTGATCAAGGCGAAAAAGCAGCCAAAGCGGCTGAAAAAATTAATTTAGTTTATGGGTTCGATACTGTAAACGCATGTGTAGCACAAAAGTGGTTTGCGAGGTTCCGGTCCGGTAATTTCGATGGCATCATCTACTACGAACTGCTCCCCTATGATCAAACGCACAATTCGGCCCTCTACTGCCAACAAATGGACCGCTTGAAGGCAGCACTCATCCAGAAGAGGCCATCTTTGATCAACAGAGGCCGAATTCTGCTCCATCAGGACAACGCCGGGCCACACACGTCTTTGGTGACGCGCCAGAAGCTCTAGAAGCCCGGATTGGACTTCCTAATGCATCCACCTTATAGTACCAAGATGAAGTTAATCTCGTTGGCAACAAGCTTGCGAGTAAAACGGCGCTAATTTGACTTAAATCGGGCAAATGTACACAAAGTTATCATATTTTGAAAAACCATTAAAAAACCGAACGATCATTTAACTGGATCTAATATATATATATATATATATATATATATATATATATATATATATATANTTTATTTTATTTTATTTTATTTTATTTTATTTTATTTTATTTTATTTTATTTTATTTTATTTTATTTTATTTTATTTTATTTTATTTTATTTTATTTTATTTTATTTTATTTTATTTTATTTTATTTTATTTTATTTTATTTTATTTTATTTTATTTTATTTTATTTTATTTTATTTTATTTTATTTTATTTTATTTTATTTTATTTTATTTTATTTTATTTTATTTTATTTTATTTTATTTTATTTTATTTTATTTTATTTTATTTTATTTTATTTTATTTTATTTTATTTTATTTTATTTTATTTTATTTTATTTTATTTTATTTTATTTTATTTTATTTTATTTTATTTTATTTTATTTTATTTTATTTTATTTTATTTTATTTTATTTTATTTTATTTTATTTTATTTTATTTTATTTTATTTTATTTTATTTTATTTTATTTTATTTTATTTTATTTTATTTTATTTTATTTTATTTTATTTTATTTTATTTTATTTTATTTTATTTTATTTTATTTTATTTTATTTTGTTTTATTTTATATTATTTTATTTCATTTTATTTTATTTTAGTTCATTTCATTTTATTTTACTTAATTTTATTTATATTTTATTTTATTTTATTTTGTTTTAATTTAATTAATTTTACTTTAAGTTTAATTATATTTTTTAGAATTTTTTAATTTAATTTACTTATTTAATTTAATTACTTTACTTTATTATTTAATACAATATAATAAATTAATTAAATTCTTTTCTCAACATTATTGGAATTTATTTAGTAAATCGAACATTAGTCAATATGAATTCATTGAAGTGAAGACATTTACTTTGACGAGATGAAATTATTTCATGTGTTAAATCAAATAAACAGCAAATATTTTAATTAAAATAAATCGAGCTTGTTGAGGATATTAAAATATAAAGTAGTTGTAAACACTTTAATTAAATTTCGTACTCAAATTTTTATTGTGCTCATCGAAGCGATTAAACATGGCGATGAGCAAAGCACAATTGTGGCCATAGATTAGTTAAAATATATGTACATATACGGTGTATACTTATGTTATGCATATGATTGTTACATTTTAATTTTCAGTGCACAGTTTAAGTATACTCATAGTCTTCATCTTGGTATTGTTACACTTCAATAACATAACCTAGAAGTGCTCAGATAATTAATTAGCAAATGCTTTTATTCTCTTATATACTAAAAATTCAAATATCAAAGGCATACATGTAATTACTCTTGTCTATGCATGAAGAATAAAATTATGTAAAGCGAAGAATGCACTTTTATATTTTTGCTATTCTGCTTGCATCCTCAAGCGGCATCGTGTCCAGTCCGTCAGCGCTCATGAGCAAGCAGCCACCGCCTGCAACCATTATTAGCCTTGAGCCATTTGCTTAAGGTTCACGTCATTATTTTTTCAATTTCCCGTTGCTCAAGCGCATTAACTTTGACTTCCGTCTTCGGTGGACGACAATTCTTGACTTTTATGCGTCTTTAGGGCGGCGGTGCATTTATATATTAAAATTTCTTCTCACATTTTTCTCTTCCACTTCCTCTCTCATCCGATGCTACTGCTACCACCGCCTTTCAATCGCTTGCTGACTGACATTGACGCTGTGTGTGTTGTGTTGTCGTCAATAAGCAGCTTACAAGCAAAAATTGGTACACTACCTGGCGATATCTTGCTAATTTCCTCCTTCTTGTCATATGTTGGCTGCTTTACGAGACGCTATCGCGAAGAGTTGCAACAGAAGATGTGGATGACGAGTTTTGCTAAAATTGAGGTAAATATGTGTATACCGTGCGTAAGAGTAAGAAAGGAAAGGAGTAGAAGTGCAAGCTAATTTATGATTTCTTTCGCAAACTTTTTTCTTTGCAGTCTCTTGTGCCATACACACTTGCCGTTGATCCCTTGACATTGCTTACCGACGATGCACAGGTTGCGACTTGGAATAATGAAGGACTGCCGGTGGATTGTATGTCAACGGAAAATGCAACGATTTTGACTCACTCCACTCGTTGGCCGCTGATGATTGATCCACAGCTGTGAGTATGGTATAGCTTTCTTATTGTGCTCGTGTATGCCTAGCATATTTTGGCCTGAAGCCGCATTAATAGGAAAAGAGTAGGTCAAAGTTTGGTGTTTGGTCCTGTTTTTCCAAACCGAATGGTATCGTAAGGTCGGTTATGTACATGTCCTTCCAGAGATTTTCAGCAGCCCTTACGCTCGTACTATGGTTCGGAAAGCCTGTATTTGCTTGTGGAAGATCCGTGCATCTTGGAACCACTTGTGCTATCATCGGAGATAAATTTTGGTGCTCGTTGAACTTCCTTAAGCTATCTTTCTGTTCCGACGTGAGTTTTAACGTGTGAATATCCTTCAAGGCATGCAAAACTCTGGAAGGTCTATGAGATCATCAAATCTTTTTCAAACATTGATATAGATATACATCACCATCCCACATTTTAAAAATTACCCCGTCTCGAGTCCCAAAAAAATCTGGGAATGTTCCACAGAGTCGGCAAACTTCTATAAGTCGCATTGATAAGAGCGAAATTGGGTGTTTTCAAGGGTTAGTGTTAGGTTGTATTGGCTACCGATCTATCGAATCGGAATTACTTAGGCCTGACTAAGACCCATTGTGAGGATTATCTTGTAACTTCGAGAGGACACTTAAAGAAGAGATATCAAAGCAACAAACTGCAATTATCTTGCAGTTGGTCCATAATATAAACTTTTCTCCCTAAAGAAGAATCGTAGAATTCGGAATTTGAAGCTGAAATAGACCCCTGACAATAAACTCCCATGCCAAGGACGTAATGGCGGATATTTTCCGTTAATTCCTTCGTTCATCTAGATTTTCCGCCTCAAAATCTCACTGAAAATCATTTCTAGTACAACTGTTCACCCGTGTACATCGACCTACTCTGGGAACACTATTTTTTATTAGCTACAGGCATACATACAGACAATATTCGAAAATATACCAAATAAATTTATACTTTCCCATACCCCCAGTCAAGGAATCAAATGGATCAAAAATAGGTATGGCGATGATCTCGTTATTATACGTCTGAATCAAAAGGGTTTCCTGGATGTGCTAGAGAAATCAATGACCAATGGCGATACCGTTCTCATAGAGCAAATTGGCGAAACCATTGATACGGTGCTGGAGCCATTACTCAGTCGAGCTTTAATAAAAAAGGGACGTTACATACGTATTGGTGGCAAGGAAATGGACTTTAATGCAAACTTCCGTTTACTTCTGCATACCAAACTGCCCAACCCACATTATAAGCCCGAAATCCAGGCACAAACGACACTAATTAACTTCACCGTCACACCCGACGGCCTGGAGGAACAATTACTCGCAGAAGTTGTAAAGATCGAAAGACCCGATTTAGAGCAAATGAAGATCGATGTAACAGTGCAGCAGAATAAATTTAAAATTTCACTTAAAGCTCTAGAAGATGAGCTCCTCGTACGTTTAGCCTCAGCCAGCACGAATGTCTTGGATGATCATGCACTCGTTATCAATTTGGAGTCTACCAAGCGTACGGTCGACGAAATCGAGTTAAAGGTGCGAGAAGCGCTCATAACGAGCGCGCAAATCGATGAGGCACGAAATATGTATCGTGCAGCGGCTAAGCGTGCGGCTATACTCTACTTTGTGCTTACCGATTTGAGTCGTATAAATCCGATATATAAATTTTCATTAAAGTCTTTTATGAATGTTTTCAAGAAAGCTATTTCTACTGCACCGAAAAGCAAAAATCACGAAAGGCGTGTACATCATTTGGTGGCCTCAATCACGCTACAGACATTTATTTACACGATGCGTGGTCTCTTCGAAGCCGACAAACTGACTTTCACGTCACATATGATATTGCGGATACAAAGTGCGGCTGGACAGATCTCCAAAGATGAGTTTGACTTTCTGCTGCGTTTTCCACATGATCCCAATTCGCTTTCGCCACTGGATTTTGTTAGTCGTAAGGCGTGGGGCGGCATAAAGTCACTGGGTGGTATCGAGCATTTTTATGGTATTGACAAGGACCTGGAAAGCTATCCGAAGAGATGGAGTAAATTCCTTGCAAGCCCGGCGCCTGAACGTGAGCAATTCCCAGGCGAGTGGAAATATCGTTCGCCCTTGCAGAAACTTTGTATAATTAGAGCACTGCGACCGGACAGAATGTTGTATGCTATGAGGTAAGTAAATTTTGAAATGAAACGGTATAAAGAGTAAATACAACTGCTTACAATGTCTTTGCAGACTCTTCGTGGAGCTAACTATGGGTAAGGAATACATTAAAGCACACACGCCCACATTTGCGGAAATCTATAAAGAGATTAACTCTTACACACCAACCTTGTTCATACTCTCGCCCGGTGTCAATCCGATACGCGATGTAGAGCTGCTTGGAGAGCATTTAGGCTTTCGCGCAGACTCTGATACACTGATAAATATATCTTTGGGACAGGGTCAGGAGCAACTAGCTGAAGGGGCCATCGTTAGTGCTTTAGCTAATAAAAAACAGTGGATCGTTCTACAGAATATTCATTTAGTTGTCAACTGGCTGCCCTCGCTGGAGAAGTTAATCGAACGTATCTCAACAGAGAACGAGACATTGTGTAATGATATAAGCGACTCAAGTTTTCGTCTATTTATCAGCGCCGAACCTGCCCCAGATCCAGAATATCATGTCATACCGCAGGGAATACTCGAATCCTCGTTGAAGATAGTGAATGAACCACCGTCAGGCATGGCTGCCAATTTACACAAGGCATGGGACAATTTTTCGCAAGAGACCTTAGAAACCTGCACACAGGAGGCCGAATTCAAGGCGATACTCTTTGCGCTTTGCTACTTTCACGCCGTATCGGGTGAACGATGTAAGTTCGGGCCGCAAGGCTGGAACAAAGCATATCCTTTTAATGTGAGCGATCTCATAATATCGGCTAACGTATTACATAACTATTTGGAAGGTAGCAGTCGCATACCATGGGAGGATTTGCGCTACCTCTTTGGCGAAATCATGTACGGCGGACACATTACGGACGATTGGGATCGGCGCCTTTGTCGCACCTATCTCGAAGAGTTACTACAGCAGGATTTAATCGATGGTGATTTTCAGCTATGTCCGGGCTTTCACGCGCCGCCCAATCTAGAGTATGAGGGTTATCACAACTACATAGATGAAATGCTACCCGCCGAGTCACCTGTGCTTTATGGCTTACATGCAAATGCGGAAATAGGTTTTCTTACAAGCGCATCCGAGCAACTACTGAAGACCATATTTGAGTTGCAGCCACGAGAGTCGGAGCTCAGCACGAATTGTAGTGCGCCACGTGAAGAACTTGTTAAAATTATGAGCGAAGATTTTTTAGATAAAATGCAAGATGAGTTCAATTTGCAGGCCTTACTGAATCGCGTCGATCGTAAGACTCCTTTCGTGGTGGTAGCTCTGCAAGAGTGTGAACGCATGAACGCGCTTATATGTGAGATTAAGCGTTCGCTACGTGAACTATTACTTGGCCTGAAAGGCGAACTCACAATAACGCCCGATATGGAACGTCTGGACCATGCTATTTTCTACGACGCCGTGCCGCTCACCTGGTCCCACTTGGCATATCCGAGCATGTTGGGTTTGCAAACTTGGTTCGCTGATCTCTTGCATCGTATTAAGGAACTGTCGAGTTGGCTAAATGACTTCAAGCTGCCGTGCACAATTTGGTTGGGTGGGTTGTTCAATCCGCAAAGTTTTCTCACCGCCATAATGCAAGAGAGCGCACGAAAACATGATTTACCTCTGGACCGCATGTGTCTCAGCTGTGACGTGACGAAAAAGGAGAAGGACGATATAAGGTAAGCATATAGCCTGTGGTTTCATAATGGAACTTAGATCTATTTCTTCCTCTCTTTTTATACACATTATATTTCGTCTTTTGCTCAGTTTACCACCGTTAGAAGGCGCACTCGTGCATGCTCTCTACTTGGATGGTGCCAGTTGGGACTGTCAGCTTAATTCGATTGTGCCATTGCCACCCAAAGAGCTGCTCTGCGCCATGCCGGTCATTTATATAAAATCTATTGTGCAAGAGAAGCAAGAGTCGCAGCGTTGCTACGAGTGTCCACTGTACAAGACAAGGTAAGAATTAATTTATTAACCTGGTACATACATGAACGTATACCTACGAGAGCTTTAATAATTTAAAGAGCAGAAGGAAATCATAATGGTGGTATTCTTCACACAATGTGTTAGATGACCAGCCGACGGAACAACGAAAATTTCTCTTTTATCAGCGTCCAATACTTGCTCGGACCATCTGCACTTCCAACCAATTTTTACTGAAGAGATAAGAAAAGGCCCCACAGTAGAGAGTACAGAAGATACCTTTACCTTTAACCTTGGAAGAACTAACCCACTGTGATGCACTCTGTGCCATATGAACCCTAAAATCTCGCTCCAGAAAGCTCAGCAAACGCCATCTCTCTAACGCCTAACTCTAGTGGCCAGATAAGCTCAAGTTGAAGAGAAGCTATCGCTGCTTGGTTTAACGAATAGAGGAAGGCGCGCGCAATGCAGATATACCTGGCGAGAGCTACAGCAGTCGGTCGAAACTCCACAAAAGTCACTTAAGAATTAATTAAATTAACCCAAATTCTGCAAATGGCAATGGCCTGTCAATTACACATAACGTTGAGCGATATATAATTTATTAATGAATGGCGTCCGCAAATTTAAGAACCTCCTCGGCCCTCGCTCGACTTCGGTTCCAGTTCTTAAGGTGGGAGCATAAATGTCTCGCTATGTAAATGGTGTACAGAAGACATCAGGAGTATTCCTGCTCCCTTCCCCGTGGTTCAAATCAGGCCAACGTAATTTACAAAGTTGATTCTACCGGCTAACGACTTGAGGATTCTGTTGATTCTGTATTCTGTACTGTGATGGTAATCGCGATTGAAGAAGTACAGGCAGTCAAACGTTCCAATAAATTACTTACTTACTTTACTGGCGTATACAACACTTATCGCGCCATGCATTCCTTTTTCTCGCTGCCTAGCGCCAATTGAAGATACCACCCTATTGATGCGATATTTTTGATTACCTACGTAAATCTCGAGTTAGATATGCACATCGTCGCTGAAGAAAATTTTGTTCGAAAAATCGCCATGCCCAACTTGTTCAAGCACCCAATCGACTGCTGTCTTCAATTATTGTGTGAGCTTTAAAAGGATGTAGGTCCAAATGTAAAATATGAGGTAATGTGCCTTCATAGATGCATTCGGATCTTCGGTAACGCATTGACTTACAGTATCGATATTTGGGATGGAACGATAAAAGCGATAACATCCAGACCTTACGGCATCTGAAACCGATCCAGTGACCTGAAATTTCTTTAAAAGTTATATCAATTGCTTGAGTGGTTGAACGATTATGTGCCTCGTAATCTGTTTAAGCGTCTGCTTAAACAGCGATTTTAAAATAAATAAATGTAACTGCCGTGCGCGTGGAATTGCCCGTCTCTTCCCACTATTTCCGTGTGCCCCATCACGCGCCAATTCCTCTATCCTTTTTGGCCAAATTTCGTTAGCCGATCGACCGCTTAGCGGCGGCCGTTCGAGCTAACGAAAAGGCACTCTAAATCAACAACGCTCGCTCGCGCACGGCAGCCTTTGAACCGCGGTCTCTTATATATCTTACACTAAATTATTTAGCAAAAATAGTTTAAATCAAATAATTTGTAAAAGTACATTAAGTGAAAATAAATTAAGTGAATTTCTTTTTATTAAATTTGTGAAGCAATTTTAAAATTGAAAAAAGTGTTTTTTCATTTAAACTGTGAGCCCGCTCGACAGCCGGCATCCCCTTACTTACCCTCAAGTCCTTGTGGACTTGAACATAATCTATTCATAAGGCGCGAAACGTGGCCACGTTTGAATCACTGTTTTTTAGTGGATTTAAAGCGATCCATTTTCAAAAATATCCGACTTTCAGCTGAAACAAAGCCTTTTTGGTTTGATAGTTAAGTTTGCCAGATGTCAAAATACCGTCCTGAAACCACGAAATGAATAACCCTACATTTGTAAGGTTGGTTTTTTAATCACATTCCATAAGCGTGACGTTCCAAATAGACATTTTCTAATATCAATTAGATAATTTGAAAGTTCACCTTTTATTATTTCTTTTCTTTTTACAGATTACGTGGTGGCACTTATGTCTGGACGTTCAACTTGAAAACTCGTGAACGGCCAGCTAAGTGGATACTCGGCGGCGTGGCTTTATTGCTGCAGCCATAAGTGAAGGGGGCGATTAAAAATCTTTTTAATATACTCAAATATTATTATCAATATTTTTTAAACCAACAACACAAGCGCAGTATTCTTACCTAACCACAAATTGTTATCAGCACATAGTAATGGAGTTTATAAATTTTATCACTGCACAATGAAAGCAAATATAGTGAGTTGTGGAACATAATGGAAATGCGTTTATCAATTTATTTTTTTCCTGCTTTGGCTAATTTTAGTTTTTAGCAGATTAAAAGAAAGATGATAATGATGATGATGATAAGATACAGTCAGCGTCAAAAGAAAGTGTACACCTTTTTCTCATACATTTCACTCTTTATTTCGGTGCAAAGTGAAGACAGACAAATTTTTAGCTTATGAATTTCTTAATTACTCCCAAACTGTACACTTTGTTTTGACGCGTTTTCCGATAGGTACCGGCTGAGGCTGGTTGAAATACATAGATGATAATGCCTTTAAAGTGAGTGTGGACAGTGCCTAACGAATTGTCATCGCCGTTTCAGTGACAGTTGTTCTTGTTTTCGTATTATTCACGCTCGAAAATGTCCGTTTATGTGCCTAATTCTCGCCATTTGCGGGAAGTTTTACTTTTCTGTTACAATTCGAAAAAAAAATGCAGCTGAAGCGCATCGAATGCTCTCAGAAACTTACGGTGATGCTGCTCTGAGTGAAAGAACGTGTCGGGAGTGGTTTCAACGAATATTCACGGCGCCAAGGTTATGATTTGTATTTGGTGGGATCAGCTCGGTGTGATTTACTACGAGCTCTTAAAACCGGGTGAAACCATCACAGGAGATCGCTACCGAACGCAACTGATGCGCCTTAGTCGCGCGCTAAAAGAAAAGCGGCCACAATATCAAGAGCGACATGACAAAGTCATCCTCCAACACGACAATGCTCGGCCTCACGTCGCAAAAGTGGTCAAAAAGTACCTGGAAACGCTGAAATGGGAAGTCTTGCCCCACCCGCCGTATTCCCCAGATGTCGCCCCTTCTGACTTCCACCTATTCCGTTCGATGGCACACGGCCTGGCAGATCAACATTTTCAATCCTTCGAAGAATTGGAAAAATGGATTGCTTCATGGATAGCGTCAAAAGAGGATTCCTTTTTTCGAGCTGGGATCCGAAAATTGCCGGAAAGAAGGGAGAAAGTTGTCGCTAGCGAAGGACAATACTTTGAATAATATATTTGCAATTCGCAATAAAGCTTTTAATTTTGAAAAAAAAAACGGCAAAGTTGTACACCTGATAAAAAATTGAATTTTTTACAACGAGATAAAGAGTGAAATGTATGAGAAAAACATGTGTACACTTTCTTTTGGCGTTGACTGTATATCCGAGGGAAGAAATTGAAAGGCACTTTCAAGCATTTCAATGTTATATGTACTTATAATCATTCATTTCTCAGCTGTCTGCTTGACACGAAATAATTAATTATTTGCAGATTTAGATAACCCGAAAGACCTTGGCAAAGTCGCAAAAATGTCCTGACAAACTAAGTATAAATGGAAAAATTTTTATTAATAAATATATTTCAATACTAATTAAATGTTTTGATTGAGCTGGGCAATAAAGCGTCTCGGAGTCTCGCCGTCTCGCCTATAATAATTTATTTTTTAATCATTTACAAAATTAAAGAAAAACCACACATGCGTATATAGTATTTAATATATATATATTTTTTTTAAATTACTATTTATTTTATTTTTATTTTAGTGCTAAAAAATCATAATATATGTATTGGCGGAGAATTTTCGGAATTTTTATAAACATATACAAATTCAGCAAGTAGCAGTTTGAGCAAAAATACATACAGCAATATAAAGGGTTCTCCAATAAGAGCTGTTATTTTAAATAGCCTGCTATTCTGGTAAATGTCACTTTTGATTTTATAATTTGTTGACATTTGACAAGAAAAAATTGTGAAAACCTGACAGAGACCGTTCATAAACCTAAAACCTTTTTCGATCGTCGTGAAGCACCTTGTCCGACCGCAATACACAAGAACTTGAGCCGGACGGTCATCAACAAGATCTTGGCTAAGCTGTTTGGGTTCTTGAAATACATGAAAGTGATCTGGAATTTCATTGAAAAATCATCTTGACTGATGAGACCTATTTCCAACACGAAGGTTACGTCAATAATAAAAACTAAATAAAAACTGTCGAATCTGGGTCTCGATAGCCCCGAAATTTGTTGTTGAAAAGCCGCTTCATCCTCAACGCGTTACTGTTTGGTATGTTTTCGAGATTGAGGCTGAATGGATTGTGCTATGAAGAGATGATTAATCATTTTTTATTGCCGGAATTGGATGGTATTCATCTGCACAACGAGCAAAAGTTTCCATACCGTGTTATCTCTCGAAGAGGTGATCACAATTGGCCACGTGAGAGCTAAGGTCCACGCCAACAGGCCAACGTCGATTTAAAACCTCAAATATGGAATTCGTGCAGAGTAGCTGAAAGTGGACACGAACTTGGACTGACTGGGCTTTTGAAAAGTTCCAAGAAGATCAGACGTTTTCGAGCCGCATTTTGTTCAGCGATAAGACCCATTTCTGGCTCAATGGGTATGTTAACAAGCAACCTGAACAGATTTAAAACCTGTTATTTCATCCAGAAAAAACAAAATGATGCCAGTAAGAACGAACCCGTCAACGACGACCGTTGTTGCGCCATTGTAGCCGACTATTTGATGCCTTCAATTGAAGCTCGTGATCTCGGCTTCACTTGGTTGCAACAAGACGGCGCCACTTCCCACTCACTGCGACAATTAATGGATTTATGTAGAGAACACTTCTGTGAGCAGATAATTTCACGTTTTAGCTCGGTTTTCGATTCAAGCCTTGGAGCGTGTCATTTGCCAGTTACCAGTCGAAATGCTCGAACGAGTCATCGAAAATCGAACTCAACGGATGGACATAGCCTCGTACAACATTTGAAAGAAAAAATCTCCGAAAAATAAATGCCAAATTAAATTACAATTTTCATTGTTTTTTTTTTTTTAAAGAGTAGGGTACCTCGCACTAGCTCACCCTTTATATACAAAATCAACAAGTAATACCAGTACATATGTATATATATATACATACCAAAATGGTTGCCCTAGATTTTCAATTAAAATAAAATGGGTCAACTATTTACCTGCTGATCAATCAGCTTCAGGCCGAATGTGCCCGCAGCGAGGATTTCAATAACGAAGCTGCTCAATGCAGCATTTGATGCATACAAAATGATGCCGATCAACGAGGAATATATATTATTTTAAGGAATTATTTTCAGAAATTGAAATTAACCGCTCACACTACGAGAGGCCCTAAGATCTCAGCTAGTAGACGTTGCCAAGTGTAGTCAGCAGCCTCAATTAGATAGAATAGAAACTGAAAAGACATATAGAAGTCAACAAGAACCTAGAGTTCTAGAACTGCAGTGAACAACGTCCGCAGTAAGGGTCTTAACGATACCAGCTTCGCTGAGATATCAGCGATACTTACCGAGATGATGATCCGAGGTTGAACTGAAAATTAATACTCTCAAGACATCGTTCATTTTCTTTGCAAAAAGGAGAGGAATGAAAAAAATAGCAATATAAGGTGCCGTTACAAAGTCACGCTTTGAAACAAAATATCTATGAGTTATATTTGACTTTAGAGTCACATGGAAAAAGCTTTCGGATCATATACACAGTTAGTAAGGCTTCTAAGCTGTTAATGGTATGCAGAAGGCTTGCAGATACTTCTTGTGCAGTTATAAGTGGAGTATCCCAGCGCTGTATAACAGATTACACTAGAACATGTCCCACAGCGGCACTAAAATTGTTTCTAAATTCAGTGAGCAATCAACAGAAAAACTTTGTAGGCTGTGATAGAAAGGAAGAAGGGAAAAGTAAAATAATCTCTATTAAAATTGGGCCAATTTGGAGCTGGCAACGCATTAGAGAGATATCATGACAAAAAGGACCTGCATTGAAAAAAGATACAAAACCCGCATGGAGGAGAAAGCATTCTAGAGTCAACCACAGATGAAAAGTGTAATTGATGCACGCTCCCTCACAAATCTGGTGCATAGATGGCTGCGACACCGATGAAGGCATCTAAGCAAGTATTGCAGGTTCTAGATCCAAGCTATCTATCTCAATGGGGCCCTACCCTAATATACTTTGAGCTGCACTTGAGGCAATCATCTAATGAAAAATAAAATCATCATGATGTGGAAATGTGTCAAGCACCTAAATCAGTTGGGAGGAGATCAGCTAAGGAAACGAACTAGCAGACAATTCATTAAAGGAAGCAACGGCAACACTGTAAATAGGACCTGAACTCTTCGTCCCCATCGGGTATCATATAATAAAGGAAGAGTTTAGATAGAAGACTTTAAGTGATAGGTATTGGTGGAATTTAGGGTGTTTAAGACAGTTAAAAAACTCAAAGTGAATTCAGAAACGTGAGTTCTCCACCAGTAGACTCTGAACAAGAGGGATGAAATGTTTGGAAGCAAATTAACCGAACGCCCGCAGAAGCCGAGTGGTTAGCGTTCGTTCGTACCAACACTCGTAAAGCTAATGCTCTAGTTCTAGTTCGATCAACGTCCAAAAATTTATAAAAAATTAATTTAAATAAAAAATGAGTTAAGTTTTCTATTTGCGGTCGCCCTTTCGTAGAGAATGCCAACCCCGTCGATTGTATTTCAAACATAAAAGCTTCTCATAAAAATCCATCAGCCGTACGGCTTACAATAAACTGTTCGTCCCACCACTTGTTGGGAAAACATCAAGACGCACACCCCAAATCACAATCGGATCAATTGGAGGAAAAAATTGTCCTAAACACCGCTTCAGCGGTTACTAAGCGCCAATCAACCTGAGTATTTCGAACCCACGACCGAACATGTAGTGAGCAAACACCAAGTCCCACAGCTACGCCTACGCAAAACACAATATCAGCATAGTCACATTATGAATGTGCATATATATGTACTTAAGTTAACATGTCTTTATGTAAAATTGTGCACAAATACATATATTTGTATGTAAATATGGCGGCTGTCACAACTTTAGACGTACTAGAATATACAAATTCAAGCGCGCTAAGTCATCGCACTGCTTTGGCCAAATGCCAAATATAATATAATTTTTTAACATTTTGTGAAATCATACATATTTGCCAAAAACAACAACTATAATAATATTCATCATGAGAATAATGACTTGGCTAACATACATTTGTATATGATTTGCATTGGGTTGCCCCAAAAGAGACCGGCGATTTTTTAAACGCAAGTAAACACATTTTTTTTTATTAATCAATTTGTTAGATGACCTTTCACCATCTTTCCGGCAACATCATTATTCCACGCTCATAGAACTTCTAGCCTCTTTCTGCAAAAAATTTAACCAAGTGCGATTTTATAACCTCGTCATTTCTGATAGTTTCACCATTTAATGAGTTCTGCAAAGAACGAGTCGACTGCCAGTGCAAGGTCAGGCCTTCAACAGTTCCCAGCCAAGATCTCTCCGTTTTTCGGCGAGTTACCAAAAATGTGTGCGGTCTAGCATTGGAATATGACACCTCTACGATGGACCAATTCTGGTAGCTTCTCGTTGATGGATGTATTCAATTTGTTTAGTTATTTACAGTAGACATCTAAATTAATCGTTTAGTTCCCTGGAAGCAGCTCAAAATATACCACACCCTGCCAATCTCACCAAACTGACCGCATAATCTTCTGAATCTGGTGTATATTCGCCTTGAAGTCGTTTGTGACGCTTCAACACGCTAGAAACATTATCGTTTTTGATTGGCGTTCAAAGACGGATCATATTCAGAGCGTTTAAGATGCATATCACAAGCGTTGAAGCGGCTTGTAAAGTGAGTCTCTTTCAATTCATGCGGTAACCAAGTATCAAGTTCTTTTTACCTGTCCAAGACGTCGTATATGACTATGAATGGTTGATTTTGGTATACTTAACTTCTTTCCAATCTAACGCTCAGTTACATGACGATCCGAATCGATTAAAGTCTTGATATCGTCATCATCAACTTCACTTGGCCGATCTGAACGTGGCGTATCTTTGAGTGAGAAATCTGCGGAACGGAATTTGACAAAGCAACTTCGACACTTTGTTTCTTTTAAGTCCTTATTACTCTACAAATTATGCAGCTTTTAAAGAATCTGCGCTGCAATTATTCCTTTAAGGAAATAATAAAGTAAAATATGACGAAATTCATCTCTTTTTGTAAAGCAAGCTAAAAGTGACAGCAAATAAATGTCAAAAGAAAAATACAGTTAAATAGTCAGAATCTGTTCCAAAAAATTGTCAGCGCCGTCTGTATGAAAAATCCGCGGTTTTTTTTGGAGCAACCCAATAGAAACAGTGAATGAAAAAAGCACGCATATGTATGTACATACATTTACATAAGTGATAGTCCATTTGGAAAAATTTTCCGGTTCTTTTTAAGTTTTTATTAATTATAATTATACAGTTAAACAAAAATAATATTGAAATTAAAATAAAATTTAAAAAAATTAAATTGAATTCCCCAATCAATTGGAATATATAACTATAAATATATATGTGCATGCATGTGTATGCTATAGTTTTGATAAAATAATAATAAAAAATTGTATATATATATATATATATATATAATTTATTTTAATAATTTTTCATATTTTTCAAAATTCCGAAAATTCGCTATTTAAAAAAACTGAAATAAATAAATATGTAAAAAATAAATATTTATTAACCAAATACCCTAACTCTAAAAAACTGTTTTTCTTTTCTTCTAAATTCATTAAAAATGTAAATTTTTGTTAAGCATCTATGTATGTCCACTTTTCCAACAAAGTGTATCCATTGATAATGCTTAACCACAGCTATTGGAGCTCGTGCATGGAAAATCCGCCAAATAACCAAAAAAAAAATAAATAAAGTAAAAAACAGATGATCCACCCAAAAAATCTACAAATTAATTGATAATTATAATTAGGTTTTTTTTCTGATAACGTAGGTTACTCAGCAAAATGGAAACAACAATTTTGAATGGAAAAATTTGCCCAAAAAAGATTAAAGCATAACTTGCTAATTTTGTGCAGAATCTCCGCCCTAACCCCATAAGGTCACGTGCGTCACTTTACATGTGTAGACCATAATATTACGTATATGCATGTATATACATACATATGTATGTATGTGTTTATTGTATTTTAAACATATCACACTACTCTCGTCTATGACGAAACAAATTTGCAGCTGATCAACCAGGCAGTAACTGGATGACTGAGTGTCATTTATACCAAACGACCGGACGTAGACGTCCGCGTTGAAGTTGAAACATATGGGAGCATAATGAAATATATATATTTACATACATACTTGTATACTTACTTACACACGTATGTATGTCTATATAATTTTTTCATTATCAAGGCAAACGAAATTCACATGAACGCACGCATCGTTTGCGTGCCGTTTATGGCCCACAAGGAAATTAAATGACTTTAGAGGTGGTATTAAATAAAGTACTATATTTATATAATAAATTATCTCCTCGTGTACATATGAAGTGGTTTTTGGCCGAGCTCCTCAATTTATTTAGTAGTGTGCGTCTTGCTGCTTTTCCAACTTTCACTTCATTATAAGTCGTCTCTGAACGGAATTGACACTCACTGCCGAGGAACGACCGCAAATTAAAGGAATTAATTTTCTGTAATTTTGATTGTTGGAATCGAACCTTGGCCTTCCTAGTGTTAGTGCACAGCCCTAACCATTCGGCTGTTGCGGCACTCATATGCACTGCATGGGCTTATAGATAAATATTATTAGAACTGATAAAATGTGATATGGTATATGTATGTATGTGTGTATATTGTACAAGTGTAGCGTTAGTCTACCGACATTTATATTTTTATATATATTTATGATAAACGAAAGATAAAAGAACTCGAATATCACGTAGCGTACATATGTATGTATTCTACACACTGATCGCATTGGTTATCATCTATACATACGTGTTCATGAATTGTTTGGTTGTCAGCCGAAAAACAAAAATTCCTACTGACCCCTCTCATTCATATGACTATAGCAAAATTTCCATTAGCAGTCCGCAATGTGGCTAACACTTTCAAATCATCGTATACACATACATACAAACCATTATTTATGTATTAGATCGCTTATGGAAAATCTCATTCCAGCAATAAGCCCAGACATACTCAAAACCAAATCTATAGCCCACTTTCCAGTATAAGTTCTTAGGAACAAATTCCATTTTTTGAATCATTTCTTCGATTCAGTTTAGTCGCCCGCGCACATTGCGAAACAAAAGAAAAAAATAGCAAAGACAACACCAACAAAAATCGCGGTAGCATGCTCAGGGTTAAATATAAAAACATCGCGACAAATCCGTACACCACATACAGCGCAACCACCTTCAGCGTTGCGAGCAGGCAGTGAGTGTGCTCAGTGCAGTTGATTTGGTTGCAGGAAGAAAAGTTAATAATTTTGTATAAGAAAGAAGAAAATAATTATTTTAATATACAACTAATTAACGGTGCATGTGTTGTAATAATAATAAATTACTAAATCTTTTTTTTCGATATTAAACAGAAAAAGAAATTTGTCAAAAATTGCATTTGAACAAAAGAATTATATTCATACATACACATATAATTTATCTATATAAAAAAGCAATATATATATATATATATATATTGTATATAAAGGAGAAAAATCGAGATTGTGCAAATAAATTGGAATTTTCTACGGCAGCAGCAACTAAAATTTGAACGCTTCAACTTTAGTAGCGAAAGTGATTTTAACCAATTCAGTCAAAAGTGAACAACGTGTGGAACGTTTTGAGGTAAGAATTATATTATGTGCTGTGGAGAAGAGATTTTTTTTTACATAATTTGCAAATTTAAAACCGAAATTACATTAGGGCGCGTGGAAAATTAAATATATAATTTGAAATAGAATTTTAAAACATAACAAAATAAATAAAATAAAATAGGATATAAATAGAAAATAAAAACAATAATAAAAAAATTAAAAAAAATAAAAACATAAATAGAAATAGAAATAAAATGAAAGAACATAAAAAAAATATAAGAAAAATAAAATAAAATAAAATTACAAAACATAAAATAACAAAATATAATAAAATAAAATAAAATAAAATAAAATAAAATAAAATAAAATAAAATAAAATAAAATAAAATAAAATAAAATAAAATAAAATAATTCAAAATAAAATAAAATAAAATAAAATAACATAAAATAATTCAAAATAAAATAAAATAAAATAACATAAAACAAAATAAAATAACATAAAATAAAGTCAAATATAATAAAGTAAAATAAAATAAAATGAAATAAACTAAAATAAAACAAGATAAAATGAAACAAAATAAAATATAAAAAGCAAAATAAAATTAAGTAAATATTATTAAATATATTAACAAAAATAAAATAAAACAAAAAGATATAAGAGAATAAAATATACATAAGATAAAAAATTGAACAATATAAAATGGGATACAATTAAAATGAAATTAAGTTAAATAAAATAATATAAATTAAAAATTAAATGAAATTAAAAAAAAAAATATATATTAAATAAAATAAAATATTACAAAGTAAAATATAAATATAATAAAGTAATAAAAGTAAAATTAAGTATAAAATAAAATAAAAATGCTAAAATAAAATAAAATAAGTAAAATGAAATTAAATTAAATAAAATCAAATAGAAAAATATAGTAAAAGAAAATAAAATATTTTTAAATAAAAAAAAATTGATTAAACAAAATAAGCTAAATTAAACAATTAGGAAATGTAAAAAGAAAAATAAAATAGAACAAAAAAAAAATAAAAGAATAAAGCTCAAAATAAAAATTTAAGTGATATAAAGTAAACAAAAAAATTAAAAAACGTAAAAAAACTGAAATAAAGAAAACAAAATAAAATTTTATGAAATAAAATAAAAATTAAATTATAATTCAATAAAATAAAATATCATAAAATTAATAAACAATTTGAAATATAATATAATATAATGATAAAAATCAAATTCAGAATGAAATACAATAAATTGAAACATACTAAAGTACAACAAATAGAATAATTAAAATAAAGAATGAAATTAAAATGAAATAAAAAATGAAAAGAAAACAAAATAAAAAATAGAAGCAAAACGAAATAAAAAATATCGGATAATGTATAAAATAAAATAAAATAAAACTAAAATTCAATGAAATAAAATTTATATAAAACGACAAAAAATAAATAAAATATAAACTAAACTTAAATAAAGTTAAAATAAAATAAAAAAGTTAGAAAAAAGTATATGAAGATAAAAATATTAAATGAAAAATAAACAAAAATAAAATAAAAACAAAAGAAATAAAATAAAATGGAAGGGATAAAAAATAAATTAAATTAAAAAAAATAAAATTGAATTAAAATTAAAAAAAATTAAACATATTAAAATAAAATAAATTCAACAACAAAATAAAATAAAATTAAATAAAATTAAATTAAATTAAATGGAATGAATTGATATTAAGTAAATAATTGTCATATTGACGGTGGATATGCATACAATTCTTCGCATTTTTCATAAACACATGTCTTTTATTAACCTCACAGGTGTCTATAACATTACACAGCAGAATTTTACTTATCACTATACCATTGACAATAACAATAACAATAAAAAACCAACATTTACAATATAAGCTACTGCTGACGAAATTTTTTAAATTAAGTATTTCTATTTTTTTCATTCCAGCAACTCCGAAAGTGATACATCAGCAGTCTCGACAACACTTGCGTGAAGAAGAAAAACACAATAAACTAATTAGCAAATACATATAACAAAAAACCTTAATCCCAAAGTAATACTCACCTATACAAGCAAGTTTAACAATCAACGCGACATTTTAAGTCACAATGGCAACGAAAATGAAGAAATCATCATCAGCACATGAAAATACTGCCGATTATGACGGCGAACCCGGCTGCGATACATTGCATGAGGTTAACGCCATGTTTCGTCACTTCTGGGACCCTACAAAATATTGGACATGTGAGGCACAAGGTCTTCCCGCTAAATTACAACGTTGCCCACAATCACATTTATATATGGACTCGCAAAGTAAATGTGTCATGTATACCGATTGGCATTGGACCGATCCAGCTGAACCGCCAAGCCGTCCGCGCCGAAGCGAAAGCATAGCGAAAAGCACGTGAAGTGGCAATGGGCATGAGTGTGATTTGCACGAGAAACCAAGAAAAAAAAAATTAGTAAAGAAACAGCAACAAAAAAATTATATATGTATGTAGATAGTTAGAAAAAACGTGATAAAAGCGCGCGTACACGGATACACACACTTGAGCATGAAAAGTCAATCGGACATGCTTGCATGCATATGTAAATATGTACATACGTGTACATATATATATATGTGTGAATATAATCGACGATGAATGTGCTAATCTTAATTAATTATACAACAATGTACAGTACATATGCACATACATTTGCTCGTCCGATGTGTACTGATAAGTACTTAAGTTAAGCCACAAATTTGTCGATAAGATTTTTATAGTTTAGCAACAATTAAGTAATTAAACACGTATAAACAAAATTTATGTATATTTATAAATTGCATATAGGTATATTTTGTAATTACTCATAGCCGATGACTGAAATTTTTTTTTAAGAAATTTGTTGCTGTTATGTATTGTTTAAATGAAATGAGAGAGGTTAATAATGCAAAACTGCCAACTTAAATAGGTAGTTTGTCCAAAACACTTGAAGCTTCTTCAACGTTAATCAAACATTTATTTATAATTGTAAAACTGAAAAGGAAAAAATAATGATCTAAGACAAGAGACGCTTGTGGAATAAATACTTATTATTGAATAAAAAAAAATCAGTTCGAGAAATTCATTTTTTTGTTTATTATATTTATGATAGCAAAAAATGGAGAAAAGGAAAAATACAAAGAAAATCACTATCAAAATATATTAGACAATTAAATAGTATTTTAACCATGACCAAGATATTTTATAAGCAAATTTTATAAAATTCTTTACACGAAGTGCAAATATGCATACTTAATATACAAAAATAGTATACTCAGTGCATAAATGTACAATATAAAAAAAAATGAGAAGAGATAATTTTAGCGGACGTTTACAAAAACTTTGTTCGAACCAATAATTTTTTAATACATTTTTTTATATAGAGATCCGCACTAGTTTCTTTAGAGATTATTGTTTCAATTATTAAGTAATTTTTTTACAATGAGCAAATGAGTTAAATACCAGTTAATATCAAAAAGTCTGTTCGAAATATTTCTTTATAATTTTCTATATGAAAAACATTTGCGTCGCATATACATTCTTTAATAATTATAATACAAACATTTATAACTAAGTGCAGAAGTGTTTAGCGCTTTTTCGTCGTTAAAAATTTGTTGGAATGTTATTTGGAATGTATACTCTAACGTACTGAAGTCTTTTATTGCTGTAACGAACAAAAATATGCCGCTAAAACCAATTTTTTAAGCTCTACTTGTGTAACAGCCTTTTATCGGCGACACGACCGATACGTTAAACAGCGTTTAACGGTTATGCGATAGTCTTTGAAATCGTTTAATCGCGAGTTATGTCATATTTCATAAATATTTACTACATTATTGCTACTAATTCGCATTCTCACTTTAAATTCCTGTCATTGCATGCGCTTTTATAACACGTCTGCTCAATGTTGATGTTGTTAGTTATGTTGTGTGTATGTGTGTGTGTGTCTATGCTCGTTGATCGACACCTCAGACGGCAAAGGCAGGAAATGATGCTATATATTTATATGCATTTATGTTTTTAGTTTTTTGTTGGAGTTAGTCGTTTTATAGTTCGAGATGTTCGCCTGTTTTGGTAATCACTTTCAGTTTGTCGAATTTTGGTGGTTTCGTATCGTTTGGTATTTCCTCTTTAATTGGTGCTGGCTCTTTGGGTGGCACGCGTTTCGAATCTGCAGAAGGACGTGGTGTTGTTGTTGACACTTTTGGTGTAGCTGTCGTCGGTTTAGCCGCTGGTGGTGTGGGTTTTTGTTTTACAGCATCGGATTTAGTCGCTGACTTAGATGGCGAAGGTGTGGTTGTTACTGGTTTGGCTGTTGTAGTAGTTGTAGGTTTTTTCGTTGTTGTTGTTGTTGTTGTCGGTTTAGGCGTAGTCGTTGTTGGTCGTGGCGTTGTGGATGTGGTTGTTGTTGTTGTCGTAGTAGTTCTTGTTGTTGTCGGTTTCGCTGTGGTTGTAGTTAGTGGTTTAGTAGCTGCAGGCTTAGGCTTAGCAGTAGTAGTGCTTGGTGATGACTTAACAGATGCTTCTAAACCAGCGCCCTCATACCTGACATTTTTGACCTTAATCTCTGGCTGTCTGCCGGCTCTAGGCGATTTTACACGTGCCAAAAATCGATTGAACGGCGAACCCAAATACAAGTGATCGTTGAACTCCAATACATGTGAAACAGCGCCTGCAGATCTATCGGTGCCATGGAGCGAGCCAACAATATTACCATTCCAATCTACACGGACAATGGTCGAGCGTTTAGGCGCCATCAGTAAGATACTTTCACCGTGTCCAATGAAGTGAATAAATCTCTGGGCTAACTTATTTGGAAATGCATTGTTAATTAAACGGAATGGCAACTCGAAGAGACCCAGGAGACGGGCTAAGAATAAACGGATACTTGGGAAATTGGCGAAAATATTGAAACCATTTGGATGTTCGCTATCAGCTGCCATAATGAGTGGCACCCAAATACCATCAGCGTCAGGTGTCAAATTATCCGGCAAACCAGGTAAACCCTCCACAAAGACTTCACTCTGTCCAGCTTTAGCGCCCTTTAAATGATACTTAACCAAACGCATCGCTCCAGTTTCGGCAACAATAATGAAGTCCTCATCAGGGCTTAGCGCCAAACCATTAGCAAAGAATAGTTCGTCCAATAAAACCTTGCTAACATTGGTAGCGCGATCGTACTTGAAGAGACTGAGAAGATATATAGAAACTCATGAAATAAGCGTTTTTTTCGTAATGATAAATAAAAGATTATGATTAGTAAATCAGATTAAACATCAAAGGTTAAGCAAGCTAATTCAAAGAAAAAACATTACTTATGTGTTTAAAAATTCAACTAGATTAGAAAACCCCATAAAAAAAATTAAGAAATAAATGAAGGGAGCATTTTTAGTCTTCTGAGTCTAAATTAAAAAATAGTCGGATATAATTTTCAATAGGCTAGAAGCAATAAATCATCAAAAGAAGCGTGTGTGTACATAGGAAATAGTACTATAAGTTTCAGTATCTGCTTAAATACATACATACATAGCCTGCTTTTTTCAACACAATACCTTAGCAAAACAAAATCAATATAATGAAAAAAAAACGGAAAATAAATCATGGAAAATATAAAAGAAAATTAACAAATAAATCCACTTTATCTCCCTGTAATTCCACGGTTGATATGTATATATGTAGCTACACGTATGTAAAAAGGTATATTTTTAAAATAAAATATGTTTTTAATTTTTTTTCTGCGTCAAAGACGTCGTCAGAAAGCGTGATGAGAAGGTTATTTAAGGAACAGTTGAAACGTGCGTACGCGTTGGCAATAATCCAATATGAGATAAGCACTACCACTACACAAACACACCAACCCAAATGTATTGGTAAAAACCAGTTTCGTCTGACACTTATTGAAGTAATGCTTTTTTTTATAATATATGCTTAAATCACAACAGAAACTTTCTTTAACATTAGGTCATATAAAGTTCAAAATTTACTTACCGGCCAGAAGGATTAGCAAATGAGCTGAACACTAAATCGAGTAGCAAAAAGTCTGAAGATGAATCAGTCCAATAAATATCACCTTTCTGATCCACAGTAACTGTGTTGAAAATTTTTGCTTTACGTTGCACGTCTTTACCAGGGAGTTCCTGATTTGGCGATACCAGGAGTTTCTTCTCATTACTGTTAAGGTCTACTTGCCAAATGCCGTAGTAAGCGTCCGAAACAATCAAATTATTACCTTGTGTATCAAAAGCAAGGCCTAAAGGTCGACCACAACGAGATTCTTCGAATATTTCTTCTATACAATTGGCACGAAAAAGAAAATGAGTATTTTCAGTAATCCTGATTCATGATCTAAACTTACCACAAGGTTGTCCAAACTTGGTAATGTGTGTAACGTGGTCAGCGGTTAATTTAATCACCTCACCACCATGTATACCGGTATAAATTTCATTTTTACGCGCAATAAGACATTCTGGGCCATAGACACGCCCTTCCAACAGACGTTCAGCACCATCCAGGTGTTGATTGGGCTCCAAAGCACCTTTTAACTCTTTGGCAGGTGTAATACTGTAATAAATGTATTTCTAATTTAAATTCATTTTTAAAAAAAAGCATAGCACTTTGGACTTACTGAAATGCTTTATAGGGAAAAGTGGTTCGCGGTGGTAGACCCGGCAATAAAATTACGATTAGGAAAAATACCATAAAATTCATAATCCTAATACCAATCCCATATAACAGACCCATTTTGCAGTTGATTATTATTTAAAGATTTCTAATAACAATTTTATTCAATTTGCCTTTAGTTGAACGACTAGCAAGTAAATTAATAAACTACAAATTCACTTTGATTTAACCTACTCAGCAAAATTCATCGGCTAGCGACACGAAGGCAGTTTCACAACCAAAGTTACCTGATCGATCTAATTAATGAATCATAAATTTTTGAACAGCTACCCTTTGTAGCACAATTTTACTTACAATACTACGGATAAGGGCGTGATGGTCCGTTTCCCCTTAATTATTAACGGTAAGGAAAATTTCTAATAATTGTACTCATTTTGCAATAGCTAATGAGCTATTAGGATACTTCGCTAGAAGCGTATAATGGTTCAGATGGTCTACAAAGCTTAGGAAATATGAAAGTGAGTGTTCTCCTATATGCCAAATTATTATATACAGCTGCTGAGTAATGTGTAAACTATGTACGTATGCGTGAAGATAAACCAATTCAGGGAAAGACGTTTATAATTTCTACTAACATAAAAATTGTAAAGTAGTTGGAATTCCAAAAATATTATAATATGAAGTCGGAATAACAAACAACAAAAAACACTCAGTCCAAATATTAGTTTTTTTTTGTGCATCTGGCTCCTCTCTACTTCGAAATCGAACAAACCCGTTCTTTCCCATTCACATTTTGTTGTGCCTTGTTTTTGTTCCGTATCATCGCTTACGTGAATTCACATATGTTCTGATGATTATCTGATAGCTGATTATAGCTGAGCAAAGTAAATCAAATACTAATTTAAAAGAACCTTAAGCAAAAAACAAAAAATGGCGGAAAATCGTAGCTCCGCTCAAAGCGAATTTGGTAAATTTATATGACTTGTAACTATTTCGCTTTATACACGGAATACCAACAGGTAATATTACGCGTTTACAAGAGGACTACTCCATGACAATGGACCACGATGCGGACCCAAATACGCAAGAGAGTCGCGATGATAGCACACACACACCTAACTCATCTGCACACAACACAGGTATGTAAGTGTATAGAAAATTTTCCATCTAATTGTAAAACCATTTTACTCTTCATTCAAATGTTATTACATCAGATGAGGATGATGATAGTGGTGACGGACGTAGTAGCACTGCGCTAGCTTCCTCATCTACGTTAAGTTATAAAGAGAGGCGACGTGAAGCACACACACAAGCTGAGCAAAAGAGGCGCGATGCTATTAAAAAAGGATATGATAGCCTGCAAGAGCTAGTGCCAACCTGTCAACAAAATGATTCGGCGTCGGGCTATAAATTAAGCAAAGCGCTCATATTACAAAAATCCATAGACTACATTGGTTATCTAAATTTACAAAAGAAAAAGCAAGAAGAAGACAGCGCTGCGTTACAGAAAGAAGTGGCAGCATTACGTATAATACAACATAGTTATGAGCATATGTTGCAGCACCAACAAGCAAATCCTGGGCCTGAAGAAGCGCGCCTAACGGATGAGGCAAAATTCCAAGTGGTAAGCACGAGAGTTTATAATTGGCATCTTGATAAATTACCTGTATGAGAGCAGAAAATATGTGTGAATGTTTTTGATAGCAAATGAATGACACAAGCAAATATGATTATTTGGATAAATAAAAAATGTTTAGCTTTCATTTGACTGTGAATTCTTATATAAAATGATTTAAATGCACTCTCTCCATATGTTCAATTCTAAAGATTGACTTATTTATTTAAGTTGAACCAGTTGGGGTTATTTGAAATTTTTATAAATACAAAGGTCAATAGCCGTATAAAACAAGTCTCACACGCATACATAAACTAATTATACATTATGAAAAATAAAGTAAATAATATATTATACATATTTATATAGGCATGCTTAATATTTTAACTGAGATTTTTTACAGAAAATATATTATGGAAATTTTTATTCTTCTCACTTTAGTATTAGTTTTTAAATCTTTCAAAAAAAAAAAACCAAAAAGATGAAATTTGAAAGACTATAAATGACGATCTTAGGTTAGCCTATACGTATATAATGCATTTAATACTGTTTTAATTTCTTTTTATGCTGTTATTAAATATTTCGATATTTTCCGCAGTTTCAGGCAATTATGGATGAAATGTTTGAGACATTCCAAAATATACCAATGGATAACTTTAAGCAGTTAACAACCGGCGTTATACCTTGGCTGGAAGAATACTGTAAGCCACATATTTTGCGCAGCATCCTAAGTCGCACCCTCCAGCAAATGTCACATGCGCAGGTGCAAGATAAACAAAAGCAACAGCAGCAAGACAATGAAGGTTTTAGTTGATTTTACAATACGTGTCTGAAACGCTTTGAGCCTAAAGGATAGCTAGATTACTGCATATCATTAGGGCTTATCTTTGGAAAATACAGTAGATTTTTTTTTAATTAGTGATATTTTTCTCCGGGAATGATTTTATCAATTGGTTTATTTCTTTAACAAGATTGCCATTTTATTAAGCCAAATAGTAAACCTCGTTTTTTATTTGTATTTGTGTAATTTAGAAAAATTGTGCGTTGTAATAATAATTTTTTACCTTGTTCCAAAATCGTCTTGATTATAATTTAAGATGTTTGGGTTCTTACAATATTTAGTTTAAATATGTATGTATATTTCAATTATCATATTTTTTTATTAGACTTCTTCTACACACGCAAATACTTATATATTTGAGTCTATAATTCAGGGTTACACAGGGTTAAGGACATAAAGCAAAAGCATTAATTTTAATGATTGGGTGTTTACTTGTAAGATGTTTTCATTTATAATTTGTTGTATTTGTAGGCAATTAAAAATGTTTATTAATTTTGTATGTATTGTGCTCAATGTAATCTGTTCAATTAAAATGATGCCTTAAACTGATCTTTTGTCTTAATCTATTATTTCGTCGACTTTCATCTTAATCATAATTAATTTTGTAAAAATAAATTAAAACAAATTATAACTAAAGCCTCTGACCTTATGACTACTTAGTGCTTAAGTATTTGACTATCATAATGTGCATAATTTCTATTTCAATTCATGTTGAAGACTTAAATTTTTGCACACTCTGCTGAAACACATCCAAGCCGATTGCAGCATCATCGAATGTAGAAACTGTTTTTAACAATTCCTGCATTATACCCGACTGACTATTCAAATCGACAAGTATGCAGATATCGAACAGCTTACTTAATGTGTATGGCGTATATTTCTGCCCAACCTTCAGGTCAGTCAATGAAGACCGTAGTTCTTTCAAGAAGCATTTGTGCCCTTCATCGCTTGTGTGCATACTCTCATGTTGCATGCGCAAAACGCCTTCAGAAATTGTAGCAAGTAAACCCAAAAATAGATTCTCATCATTTACATTGCCGACCATATTAGAAATATTCAATATTGCTTGTGGTAATTCCAGCCTAAAGTCATGAGCGCGTACAAAGCACAAGGCAGCCAATTTCCGTACATTGTCACATCGATGTGCCAATAAGTGCCATGTTAATACGCGTATGCGGTGTAGAAATGCACATTCACTGGGTTCAATTTGTTTGGGTAAATGTTTTATTTTTGCGAGAAAGCTGAGGAATAATATTGTTGTGTTTATGTTGGTATTCAAGTCTTTTTTGGCATCAAAATAATTAAGTATATACTCGCAGATCGTTGGCAGTTTACGGACAATCTCATCATAAGTTATATCATTGTTTTCATTACCTGCTGGTGCCTCAAAATCTTTTGCTGGTGATTGACCGACGATTTTCGGTACTAGTGCACCAAATAGTTGCAGCGCTGCATTGAATTCGGTCCATTCGGGATGCTCAATGCGTTTTAATGTGACTAATAGTATATCTTTGTAATAATAAGATGCGGCATCGCGCAATTCAGTATCGCGAACAAGTACGCATAGATAGTGCAGAAGTAATGCTTCTAAACGATCATAAGTTTGCACAGTAGTCGTACCTGTAGCTTCAAAGCTTTTCAGTAAAGTTAAAATTTTTTCCATCACACTCTTGAGCAGTGGCCTTGTACGTTGCTGCTCATTTTTCACAATATGCAACATCATTATGGAAAAGCCTGCACCACGACGTGTTACGCTTACTTGTGGTTTATTATCCAATAAAAAATCCAAGCAATTGTATAGTAAACTATATGCTTCCGAAGTTGGTGAACAATGTGTAGTTATATTTTTGGCCAGCTTACCTAATAGACGGATAAAAGAAGTGTTAAAATTCTTTTTTTTTTTTCAAAAACACTACAATTAACCACCTATGCTTACACCAGCCGCTTCGATAGCGCCTTTGTGCCTGCAGCGTGTTAACACCGTTACACTTATGTCTAGACAAAGCTTTAATATTTGATTATCATTGAAGCCGTTACCAACTGTTGACACATACTTCACACCGATTTCCGTTGCCAAGTCGCAAGAAGCCTGAAATATTTTCAATAAATGTAAATGCATATATAGTATATATATTTCATAGTAAATACCTTTAAAGTCAACCAAAATGACATGAGTAAAAATTTGCGATGATCACTATTATTTCCATTTTGGTATGAACTCTTTTTTACCAACATTTCTAAACTTTCATCCATATCTTGAAAACTTGGAGCATTCGTAGCAGCTTTTGTTGGATCAGATTTGCACGAATTCAATAGATTCAAAATTAAATTTAATACTCTTTCCAAGAGGCTGAGAATTTCACTCTGCTTTTCAGTGGTTAAGTTAATGATGCCCTTCACGACCTCGCCAGCAATATTTATGAAGCCAAATAAATGATTTTTCGTTTTACATACTTGCAATGGATCTGCTTGGAAATCTTCGAAAACATTTGTTAAAGTTGTTAAAGCGAAATCTAGCAAATATTCAAGTGATTTATGGTGTCCCATACTCCTACAGCAATTAACTGTCACACGCGCATAAAGAGTGCTTAGGGCACACTCATCGACATCATTGCGTCGACTAAACTCCTTGCAACAACGAACACTTTCCTCTACATTGGTGAAATTGATTTGTTTTAATAGGCCTACAATCAAATCTAATGCATCATTGAAACCGAACGGATCATCAAGTAGTTTAAAAAGCTCCATGGTAAGAAAAGCAGCATCAAATACTTTTTCTGCAACTAAAAAATTGCCGAGATTCTTATTCTGTGCTAGAGAACAATTTTTGGTATTCTTGGACAATTGATCAGCGTACAATGATTTTAGTAGAATATCTAGAAGGCGTAAGGAAAATATTTTCGGTTGGTAAATATCACTGCAAATATCGGTCTCGATTATCTGATGCAGTTGTTTGAAAAATGTTTGAATACTGTCTTCAAGAGTAGTGGTACCCTCACCATCATGTAATTTGCAAAATGTCTTTGCTACATAGTTGACAATTACTGGTATTTTACCCAGAATTTCGTTGCGATATTGGGCGTTTTCGATATTCTTATGTGCCTTTATGAATGCGGCGCTAAATTCGAGACAATCTTCAATAGAAAAATTTGACAAATTATCAACTATTAATTTAAAAATCAGCATTTGTGTATCCAATCCATAGTTGGAACAATTCGTTATTAATTCAGTACTGATTTTAAAGAAGTGCAACTTTGATACTGGAAATATTTGCCGCGAAAACATAGTGAAAATTAATGTTGAACGAAAGCAATCAAGCTCTATAGCACTGTCTATTCTATTTTCAACAGAATTTATAATTTCCGGTTTACACTGTACATATTCAAATAATCTATGTTTTTGTTCAATACGTCCAAACCAATGTGCATAAAAATTCTTTATTTCGATTACAGTGCCGTAAATTAGTATGTCCGCACACAAGTTTAATAATTCGCGAGATTTTTGTGCACTTAAGGCTTTAATTAAATGTTGACTTGCAGACAAAAGGCTTTTATGACTCAAGCTCAGACGTACCCCGGCATAGAACTCATCTGCACTATGTTGTGCACTACGCAGAAATTCATTTAAATTGTACTGTTTAAATATACAGCTCATCAAATAAAATTTATATCGATTCGACCATGGCCAAAACTCTAATATAACGTGAAAATTTGCAAGTGCGTATTCTTTTTGACGACAACAGTTGGAAAAAAGATTCAATGTTTCTTCACGCATGCCAAACTGATTATCCTGTAGGCAATAGTAGATTTGCTGTAGTGAAACATTTGCATTTAACGTTGGAAATTTCTCCACTAATAAGTTTATAACTCTGAGTATATATAATATGTTGCCACAGTCTTCATCGATAGCATCACTTAGTGCTTTACTACATTCAGTGATAAGTTCCTCTGGTTTAATTGTGGTTGATTTGTGATTAGTTAAAAGTATGGCATATATGAGCTGAAAACCACATTCCTCTGAGTAAAGCAATTTCGTTTGTGGTAAAGAGTATAAATTTGTTCCAGGAAATTGGTGTTGCTGACTTAGTTGGAAGTAGGCTCGATAAGCTGTATTTAAGACGACTTGATTAGCCACAATCGAGCCACATCTGGAATTAATGGATGTTTCGTATTCTATTACAGCTGCTATATGTTGAAGTACACATTCAGCATCTTCCTTGCTTTTCGTTTTTGTTGCAATTGCCTTAATAAAGTAATAAATAAATAAAAATAAATTTTCCAATCTTTCACATATACACTATATAGAACTCACGCCCAACTTACAGGTAAATATTTTATGTACTCAGCCGAATTCGTTATTTCGTTTGCACATTTTGGCAGTTTGGTAATATCAGGATATGAAAACGCCATGCTGTTGCGAAGGCTTAGTATAATAAAGTATTTAATGAATAATTCAAAAAAATTTTTTCAAATATATCCTTAAAATACGACAGCGAATTTTGGGAATATTTTCCGGCTCTAGCTTTTGCTAATTGTGCTTATCAGCCGTACCGGTACAGTATTGTTCAAATATGTGAGATCGCATGTTTTTTAAATGTTTTTCGTGAATTTTTTTCTGCTAGTCCAGTGGTGGATTTTCTTTGAATTTCTGTAAATCTGATGAATTAAATAAATAATAAATTTCTGGGTTTTTCGTCAATACGCATTGGCTAATATGCAGATTGAAAACCTTATTTAAAGACCACTAAGGAAGCCTTTAAGTATTGTTATTAAGCATTCTAGGCAATAAACACTTTATTTGGGCATAAGGGGGTTAAATTTTATGTCTCAAATTAAGTAATTCACCTCTCCGAATGGGTAAGTCATTTCTTCTTGTTATCTTACGTTACGTTCTGTAAGAGCGTTAGTAAAATGAATGCGCATTTAGTCAAAATTATGGCAACACCAATCTAATTGCCATATTTGCGGTGATTTTTGCTGCGCTTCAGTTTCTTTCTCTACGCTTTGCGCATTTTAAAAGTGACAAAATGGCGAATGAAGCAAGTAAATTGCTCCTTTCTACACAACAAGAAAAACCGAATCATTACACGTAAATAAAACAAATATTTATCAAAATTGTGATTCAAAGTGTACAATAAACTTAAAACATAATATATAAAATGTTTTTTTAACGTTTTGTTGCTGTGTCGTCTTGCAGGTACTTAAAGGAATTTCGCGTTGAACAGTGTCAGTCTTTTCTACAACACAAATGCAACCAACATAGACCATTCGTATGTTTCAATTGGCATTTCCAAAATCAACGACGTCGTCGTCCTGTACGCAAACGTGATGGTACATTTAATTACAGTGCAGATAATTATTGCACAAAATATGATGAAACAACAGGCATATGTCCGGATGGTGACGAGTAAGTATATTCAACATTTGTATTGCTAACAATGTGTAGGTGTAGTTGAGACTCCACCACCAATGTTTAGTCTGTGCAAAATACGCTATTATCCTTCACCCCATCCATTTGTAGGTAGTCACAGAAATTGCGTTTCCATTATTTCCTACACCTTTTAAGCTTTGTATAGAGATCCCAAACTATTGCCTCTTTGCTTTCGTCATTATCTCTCTGTTGCTTTTATGTTTGTTTTCTTTGTTTTTGTTTTATTTTTGTTGTGCTTTAGCACAATTTTGTGTGTTTTGATGCAAATTCTTGTTTCCACTCTGTTTTCTTTTGTATCACGTATACACACTTTTCATCTTTATTCCACACGATATTCGCAGTTTTGTTTATTTATTTATTTTTTTTTTTTTTGTTATTTTCCACCCCGTTCTGACTGAAAGAGAAATGAACTCGATACCTTTTGGAAATGTAAATAAATATAAACATAAGCGTACGCACAAATGGAATATTTGCGATGTATGCTGTAAAAGGCTGGTATAAATGTAATATACAATAAAATGTAAATAATAGAAGCGGAGTACTAACTAAAAAATTACTTTTCGTAAATGCGCGATGTTATTTAGTATTTAAAATTTGAATTTAAGCTTTGATGAAGTAACATTAAAACAAAAAAAAAGTCGAATGACATTATGTAATATATATTTTTTTTTTTTTACATTACATATGTAGGTTTTGTGTATGTGTTTTTTAATATTTACAATTTATATAATCAATGTTTTTAAACCCTCAGCTGCCCATTTCTCCATCGCACTGCCGGTGATACTGAGCGTCGTTACCATTTGCGCTACTATAAAACTTGTATGTGTGTACATGATACGGATAGCCGCGGTTATTGTGTCAAAAACGGTCATCACTGTGCTTTTGCACATGGTATCCAGGATCAACGTCCACCGGTTTATGATATTAAAGAGTTAGAATCCTTACAAAATGCTGAGCTGGCACTCGACGGTACAAATGCACAAAATGCTTTGGATAAGGAACGTAATCTGATGAACGAGGATCCAAAATGGCAAGATACTAATTATGTATTGACAAATTATAAAACGGAACCATGTAAGCGGCCACCACGTTTATGCCGACAAGGTTATGCTTGTCCACAGTATCACAACAGCAAAGATAAGCGACGAAGTCCACGCAAATTTAAATACAGGTAAATGATTTTATCTTAAAGTAATTTTATTTTTATTTAACATTATATATTTTATTTTAAGATCCACTCCATGCCCAAATGTTAAGCATGGCGAAGAGTGGGGTGAACCTGGTAATTGTGAGGCTGGCGATAATTGCCAATATTGTCATACACGCACCGAGCAGCAATTTCATCCGGAAATTTACAAGTCAACTAAATGTAATGATGTACAACAAGCTGGTTATTGTCCACGTAGCGTTTTCTGCGCCTTTGCACATGTGGAACGTAAGAAAATCGCGAATTATGAAACTAATTTTATATGCTATTTATTTCTCAAATTGTACAAATATTTGATTTCTTTTAGCTTGTCCCATGGATGAATTGCGTGAAAATGCACTCTCAGCTAGTTTGGCTAATTCAAGCTTGCTATCACGTTCCTCTGCGCCAATTAACATTCCTAATTCTACGCTAAGTAATTCTATGAACGGGGAGTGTAAGTTATTCGAAAATCCCTTATGGAATAGTGCTGCCAAACTTAATAGGTTTTACAAATTCTTTTTTAGATTATAATTCTGCCGGCTTCTCCGTCAACATTCCAAGTAACTCGCTCACATATAGCCCAACCAATCATAGCAATCTATTCAGCGTGTCAGATGCGTTTAACTATAGTGGAACTAATGCAAATAAACTTAGTAATTCTCTCTCAGCGGCCACACAAAATGATAGTAGCAGCTTATTCTTTCCATCAAGAATCATATCGCCCGGTTTTGCTGATGGTTTATCAATAAGTCCCTCCGTTAGGTGAGTATTGAATGAGGGTATTTAAAAAAAATGAGGAATGCTTATTGATTTGTTTATTATTTATTTATTATAGAATTTCTGAATTAAACTCAATACGTGATGATATAAATAGCAGTTCCGTTGGAAATATGTTATTTGATAATACTTTGACAACTACTAAAAATGCATTTTCATTACAATCGCTACAAAATCAAAATACATCTGACGTTAATCGGTTATCAAATGAGTTAATGACAAAAAATTCACAAATCGTTAAATTAACAAATCGTATTGATGAGACGGCTAGAAAGGTAAGCATTGGCAATGGTTGGTGTTTGTAATGTGGTTCTAGATGAGCAGAAATCATTGTTGGAATTGTTTTAATATATAAATATTATATTTTTTATTTCTGTTTTTAGCTAAATTTAACGGAATTACAACGTGACAAAGCCAAACAGGAGGCAATGGAATGGAAAGAACGTTATGATTTAGCACAAACACAATTGCATTTGTCCACCGAATTGCGCAATTTATCAATACAAAAACTTAAGCAATTACAGGTAATTTTACACATTACATTATTACTTAATCAGATATTCCATCAACTGCATTTTTCCCCCCAGTCAAAATTGCGCTCCGATTTGGAGGAAGTCGAAAAGGTATTATATCTGGAGAATGCTAAGAAGTGCATGAAATGTGAGGAGAATAATCGCACGGTTACCTTGGAACCATGTAATCACTTCATACTGTGCGATTCATGCGCTTGTTCGGTAACGGAATGCCCATATTGTCAGGTGTCCGTAGTTACAACACACACTTAAACCCAAACTCATTAAAATATCACACTTCATACCACAAAAAAAAGAAGAAGAAAAAACAAATGTAGAAGAAAAGTCGTAGAGCATTTAGTACGTAAAGAAAATGTTTAGATAATCTTACATATTTGCTCCAATCAAATTATTTATTAAAAAAAAGTGTAAAATAATAGGTTCTCAAATAACGAAATATTGATGAGAGGTGACAAAAAAAGATAAGGATTGAAGAAACTCACGATTAAACAATTTAATTGAAATTAAATTAGTAATAAATACATATATACTTAACTTGAATTGTGTTATTCGCACAATTAGCGAATAAGTTTAGGTGTCAAAAAGTGGAAAAAAATCGCTGGAATTATATAACTAGTAACATATACATGCATACATATATACAACAAAACATGGAATATATGCATTCGAATTTTCGGTAACTAATCTTCCAAGCAAAAGCAAAAAAGCAATTAAACAATAAGCAATGAGAATATTTTTCCTTTACGATTATTTTGCACTTAAAATAAATAGAAGAAAATGAAAAGCTTTTACTTAAATAGATAAGTATTTTGGCAAATTTTAACAAATTTATTTGTAAAAATTTTTTAATAAATCATTTTTTTTTTTTTTTTTTTTTTTTTTTTTTTTTTTTTTTTTTTTTTTTTTTTTTTTTTTTTTTTGTGAAATTACTTTTTAATACATATTCTATATTTTCTAAATCATCTTTTTGTGTAACACTATATTTAAGTCAATGAAAATATTTTTAAATGAAATAATTTAATTTTCTATTTGAAAAAGTCAATTTTAGTATGGTATTAATAATGTTTGCTTTTTTAAGCTCAAAAGCAATTAACATTACGCGTATATGACATTGAAATTACACAAGTTTAATAGTATTTTTAATTAGTTTACTTTATATGTTTCAATTAGGCAAAAAGCTATAACAATTGTATTCCCTTTTCATAGTATTATATTTAGTCTTTTTCCAGTGCATCTTTTATATTGTTTGCTACAATTAATTCATTAATCCTTTAAAATCAGAAAGTGTATTTTTCCTATTTTATGCAGTTTCTACTACTGTTGCTTTGATAGTAATTTAAAATAATACAAAAAATACGATTTCTAAAATACAAAATAAGAATATTTAACAAAATATATATGTATGTTTCTTTGTAGTATAGCAATTTTATAAAAGGTTTAACAAAATATTGTTAAAAAAGAAATATTGGTTTCTATAAGAATTTCGTCTTTCGGTTGAGCAAAAGAAGGAAATAATTTACTAAGCTGAGTCAATTTAAAAATATGAGGAAAACTATGAAATGTTCACAAACAATTCGCTTTAACGTAGCCAAAAGTATTAAACCCCCGTATTTTGTCCTAGACATGTTTTAAATTTTGAAACAATATTCATCTATTACATACTTTTAAGCGAATGTAAAGTGAACAATTTGAAAAGTTTAACACCTTTAAATTGTATATAATTTCAATTTTATGAGTATCTGTCAAATTTTATATTTCTTAATAAAAAAAATTACAAAGTTTAATCCATTTAGTCAAGTCCTTGAGAAAAATTTCTAAAGTTTTTCATTTCGAAAATCGTGTAGGAAATCTAAATAAATTCCTTAATTAAAATTGTGTTAAAAACGCTTTTAAAATACGATTTCACTTTTTTAACCAAAAATCATATGAAATTAAATTTACTAATTTATATGTATTACTACTACTTTTCATACTCCCGAATTAAAGTAACAAATGTGTAATCAAAAAAGATACTCAGTGAATTGGTGTGATTAAAGTAACAATAACAGTCAACTCAAACAGCGAAGAGGTTTTACATTCTAAAATTGTAAAACAAATATTTGTTGTCGTAATTTGAATTTCATGTATCGAAATTGAATAGATATAGATAAATGAAAGATATATTTTTTTTTTTTAACAGGAGCAGGAAATTACAGTACTACGTCAAAAGTGTACTAAGTTTTATGTGTAGATGTGGAGTAAACGTGCAAGAGAAAAAAATTTTGATTACAAACAAATGAAAAAGAAAAAAGTTTGAATAAAATAAAAAACATATACATATATTTCTTCGCTGAGTTGCTAGAGACCTGCTTTTTACGATTATTTCATTTTAAAGAGTATATACAAATATGAAACAAGAAAGAAAAGGAAACATAATTGAATATATAGTAAAAGCTTAAATAATAAACGAGTGATGAACAATGTGATTTGCTGACAGATATTTGTATCCGCCACACACGATACATACATATAAATGTGAAAATTAATTAAAAAAAAGAAATCATTATGAAATATATAATAAGCAAAACTTATAGCAAAATTGGAAGAAGCAGTGAGTAACAAGTGAAAAAAAACAAGAAATTGACTTTGCTGTCGTATACGAATTATTTTAAAAAATCCTAAGCAGCTATACACCCTTCTGCTGGTAAAAAAAAATTTTACTTATAAAAAATCAAATTTGAAATATTATTAATTAATATTACAAACAAAATAAATTGAAACAAGAAATTAATAAATTTTTCACTGATATTTGAGTATGCATTTTGTATTTGTGGTATGCTTACATTTATGCTAAATCGAAATAATTTGCTTCCTATAACTTTAGCTAGTAAACGCATAACGTATTCTCTTTTCGATTGCTTCACTTAGTCTTAAGTGCAATGTATTTAGGTTACGAAATTATGTGAACTCAAAAATTGTAGTATTTCAAGTATTTAAAATAATATACATATATATTTCGTTACTTTTTTATTAATATCGTGCATTTGCAATTTTACTTTTTATTTAAAATCTTAGAATAAATTACATATGTATATCTTTTGATTTGAATTATTCAGTAATTATTTTTTTCTTCTCATTGTGTAGAATTAAGTTTTTTTTTATTATATATTTTATATTATTTTTTATTTAAAAATGTGTACATATATATATTTTTTTAAAATTTCCATATTTAGGAATTTGTATTTTTTATTATTTAATCTCTTCCAATTTTCAAAGACTTATAAGTTATGAGTTGATATTGACCAGGTTCTAGAACAGCTGATTTGATTTTACTTTATTTTATTTATTTGCTAAATTATGCTGATTTTTTGAAGTCTACGCCGTAACTAGAAACAAAATATTGAGCTCTCTGGCAATGAAGCCGTCTTGATATACACATATGCATTAATAATAATAATTTTTTGTCGCTTTATAAGTTTTAGTAAAAACATTTTGGTTCGATAAAAAGTGTTCGTTCTCAAAATACAAGATGTTGTTTTGTATGCTGCCAAAAATAATAAGCACGAATAAAAATCGAAAAAAGTATTTTATTTGTTAAACAAATTTCATTCGGTTTTTTTTTTTAAATTTCAAAAACTATAACTGTACTATAAATATTTAAAAAAAAATTAATAAAGAAATATTTATTTAATTCGTTTTATTTAGCGTTCTTTTATTTGACTTATTTTTCCTTGGAATTTAGATTTATTTTAGGTTATCTATGCATTATGCATAATACGGGGTTTTTTCGCCGTATACTATATTTTCGTTTTCATTTATATTATTTTTTTATATTTTTGTATTCATATTTAAATTATTTTATTTTATTAGATTTATTTGAATTTATTTTAATTTTATTATATTTTATTTTATCTTATTTGGTTTTAATTTCATTCATTTGATATTTATTACATTTTATACGATTATTTTTTGATTTATTTTATTATGTTTTACTTTATTTATTTTTATATTTTTTATATTTTATTTCATTTTATAGTATTTAATTTTTTTATTTAATTATTTATAAGTAGTTTCATTTTTTTTTTTGGTTTTTATTTTATTTTACTTTATTTCATTTTATAGAATATTTTTTTTATTGCTTTAATTTTTATATTAATTTATTATTATATTTTATATTACTTTATTTAATTTTTTATTTTTATATTTTTTCATATTTTTTTCATTTCATTTCAATTTTTTTATTTATAAGGTATTATATTTTATTCTGGTTCAATTTATTTTATTTATTTACAAGTTGTTTTATTTTATTTATTGAATTTAATTTTTTATAATTTTATTTTACTTCATTTTAAGATAATTTATTGTATTTTGGTTTTTATTTTATTTTACTTTATTTCATTTTATATAATATTTATTTTATTTCATTTTATATATTTATTATATTTATATTTATATTATTTTTTATTTATTTGGTTTTAACTAATTTTATTTTACATTAATTCGTTCTATTTTTTATTTCATTTTATTTATATCTTTTCTTAGTTAATTTTTATATTAATTTATATTATTATTTTATTTTGATTAAGGTTATTTTATTTCGTTTTACCTTAAATAAAAATTTTTTTTAACAAATCTATCACTAATATTAAAATTACTTTAAATAAAATAAATATTTATTTTTTGGTTACTTTTCTCTCAATTTTGGTTTTATTTTTATTTAATCCGTATTTTCACAAAACGAAGTGTTATGAGTAAATATTTTAATTTTTTGTTTTACATTAATTAATTTTTATTTATTTATTTTACATTAATTAATTTTAAATTAATTTTTATTTGTTTATTTTACATTAATTTTTTAGAATTTATTTTGTTTTATTTCCTTTTTAGTTTTGTTAATTTAATTTATTTTATTTTACTTTATTATTATCTTATTACGTATAACTTTATTTTGTTTTTATGCTTTTGCTTATATAGAATATGGTATTTGATTTCGCTCAAAATAATTAATATTAATAAAAATTAAAATAATGCAAAATGTTTCTATTCCCATTTAGTTAGAAATCTTAAAGAGTCATCTTTTGTATATTCATAAGATTATTTAAAACAAAAAAAACATGAAAAAAATGATAATAATCAAGCACTAACTATTATGTTATTAACACGTATGTATATATTAGTGTGGTTAAAAAATAATAAACAAAAATTTAAATATGAAAATCAATAACTCGGAGAAACTCACCGAATCGTGCTGCTTTAAAATAGAATTTTCAAATTTGAACAAACAATACATACTCGTACATAGAATCCCAACTCAAATTATAATAAAAATATACTAACATACATAGTTAGTGATTCGATAGTTAACAAATAGTTACAAAAAATAAATAAATAAATAAACGAAACAGTTGAAAAGTAAATGTCACACACGAATGAATATGAAAAAAACGGTTAAAAATACACGAAACAATCTTAGAACAATAAAACAATCTCGCAGCAAGGCTTAAAGAAATATGGAAAATGAAAGAATATAGAAATTTATTGTTTAAACACAAAAAAAAAATTAAAAAAATATAAAAAAATAGAAAAATAATACGGAGT